TGAAAGTCAACCCCAGGGGAACTCTGAGAATGAGGAAGCTGGGACCTAGGGGAGCCTGAGGTGATTTCAGTACGTTTGGCTGGGGATGGGTGCTACTGTAAGAGCGGGGAAGAACAGCAATTGTGGTAGTAAAAGAAGAGCACAGTTTGCTGAGACCTTGTTCTTCCATGCATAGACACTGGAAGACAGATAGGTGGGAAAGGGACGCCAGAACGGACGTCAATTGTGAGAGGCAGATTTCCTGCCTAATAATAATAATAATAATAATAATAATAATAATAATAATAATTTATTATTTGTACCCTGCTGATCTGGCTGGGCCTCCCCAGCCACTCTGGGCGGCTTCCACAGACACCAAAAATACACTAAAATGTCACACATTAAAAACTTCCCTGAACAGGGCTGCCTTAAGATGTCTTCCGAATGTCAGGTAGTTGTTTATCTCTTTGACATCTGAAGGGAGGGCGTTCCATAGGGCGGGCGCCACTACCGAGAAGGCCCTCTGCCTGGTTCCTGAAACCTCACTTCTCGCAATGAGGGAACCGCCAGAAGGCCCTCGGTGCTGGATCTCAGTGTCCGGGCTGAACGATGGTGGTGGAGACGCTCCTTCAGGTATACAGGACCGAGGCCGTTTAGGGCTTTAAAGGTCAGCACCAACACTTTGAATTGTGCTCGGAAACGTACTGGGAGCAAATGCAGATCTCTCAGGACAGGTGTTATGTGGTCCCGGCGGTCACTCCCAGTCACCAGTCTGGCTGCCGCATTCTGGATTAATTGCAGTGGCAGGAGGACTGGAAAAAAGACATTGTTTACCACTCTCACAGCCTCTTCTCATCCAGTAATCCACACCTCCAAACTGAAGTAGGTTTAGGGACCATACTTCAATTTAATGCGGATTGTGAACCTCTTATAAGAACATAAGAAGAGGCTGCTGGATTATGTCAATGGCCCATTGAGTCCAGCATCCAGTTTTCAAAGTGGCCAGCCAGTAAGCCAGATTCAAGCAGAGCAAGCAGGATTGTGAACCCCTTGTGCCTTCTTTAACTCTCCTTTGTCCACATGGCGTTCTCCTTCAGTTCCTGCTGCCCCACACTTCCTGCTCCCTTAAACTTGGAAATTTCCTGTGCAGTCAATGTAGCTCTCCTGCTTGGATTCTCAAAGCATAGGGTGAAGTATAGGTGGGTTCCCACAAGGCAAGACACAGTGATAATAGCAAGAGCCTTTATTGAACTAGCAGAACTGGACAACAGGGGCAAAGCAACTGCTTATATATATTTCTGAAGGCCTGGGCCACTCCCACTCCCAACATGATTGGCTGTCCAAAATTCCAAGCTGCAAATCATAACTCAGAGTTTGAGGGCCAATGGCCAAGACACAAATCCTGAAATGTCCTGTGATTGGATATCATGTATTGGATCAGAACCCCAGGGCTCAGAATCCTTAGTCCAGACTCAAGCTCAGGTAAACACAGACCACTGAAGACATAATATAGGGAATCTCTGGATTTAGGCAGGAGAAAGTGTGAGCCAACAGTAGCTGGAGGGAAAATGCCACACGGGCCATAATCCACATTAAGTTGAGGTATGAAGGGGCCTTTAGAAAGAAGAGGCAAAGTGAGACAAGGGGAATGTGGATTGCTTTTCTTGCTATGGGGGGCAGAGTAGAAGCTGGAAATGAGCTCCATACGCAACAATGGAGCAGTTGCTGTTCTTCTCATTCTTCATGGATGTGCCATGGGCCACCGGTTTTGGAACCCCAGATCTAGAGGGACAGTTATGGTACAGAAATCTTACCTCAGGGAAATGCCTGTGTTTCCTTTCTGCACAACACTTAAATCTCATGGTGTACCACATAGAAACCCTTCAGCTGTGAATATTAAATGACATCTCAGTCTATGAGAAGAAAAGCCTGATTTTAACACATGTAATTAGGAGTCACTAGAACACCAATTAAGGTTGTTGAAAAGGGGGGGGGGAATGCAACATGTAGGAAGAATAGTGGGATAATTTATTATTAGCTCTTGCTGATTTGAGGAAAGTTTGCTGGCTTTCAGTTCTGTAGGAGCTGTTTATAACTTGGGTGAATCCCATTCCCATTCCATTGAAATATTTCACATCATTCGGGAGAGGGGTGGGGGAGAGAGAGAGAAGTGGGGAGAAAGAGGGAGGTGCAGCCAACCATTTAACCCCCATTTGTCCGCACTCGTGGTGCGATAAAATTCTCATTACCACTTGGTACGATAATAGCGGGAGGATACACCTGGCAATTGGTAAATAATCACTGTGTGCATGCAACCATTTCATAAACCAGTTGACAGAGCACGTATTCTCTGATCAATGATTCCAGTCACCAGTGTTGTAACGCTGATCTATAAGTGGAATCAGAAAGGTGTGAGGGTTATCAGCAAGTAGACGGGCAACAGAGCAAGTGAGGGCAGGCAGGCAGGCATAGTCAAGGAAGCTTTTAGCCCAAACACATGAGGGAAAAGCCCAAAGTGGGGGGAGGGGAACATCCTTGCCAGGAGATCTTTTCAGTCTGGAATGGGGACCTGAGGTGGGTGAGCAGAGCAAAGGCATTATGTGGGTTCAAGGACACAGTCAGGGCAGGCAAAAACACGGAAGGAGGGTGTGATGCAGGGCCAATGAAGGCTGAGAAGAGAAGGTGTGGCTGGGGAGGGTATGTTCTGAGGGCCAGAGAGAGGCACGGAGGGCCACCACATTCAGGCCACAGGACTCAGATCCTTCCCCCACCCCAATGCAACAAACATGGGGTAGCACAAGGCAGGACTAGACATTACAGGTTCCAGCTCTGATAGCTCTGGACATATAAGGTACTGGGCCAAAAGGAGGATCTGTGTCCCACTAGATTTCCAAGCGGTTGAATGCCAATTTTGGAAAAATTAGTGGTTGCGAAGTTCATGTCCAAGCAGAGAGAGAGAGAGAAACTGGGAATGAGCATTTCTGCTTCTTGCTTCCTGACTTAGGCTCAGTTATTCTTCTCCAAGCAGCTTTCCTTATTGCACAGAGCCTCTGGTTGCTTTCAGAACAAAAGCACAGGCACTCTGGTCAGCCCTTTGAGTCTTGTTCATTTGATCGTTGGAAGATTCAGTTTTGCGAGGGTCGGCTTCAGCTCCGATACCTGAAGTCTGTATTTTGTCTTCTGTAGTTCCACAAGCAATAAAGCCCCCCCTTTCCCCATGTGTTTTGTCTACTGGGGGGGGGGGGCTGTGCAGGATCCAGAGGAATTTCATTGAAATGCAGCTTATTACTCGTTCGCAGCATCTCTCTCTTTCTCACATAGTTGCCATGGAAACCATGACAGCCTATGGGCAGCCACCTTTCTGGCCATCTGAGGGCAGGTTTTTCGGCAGGCGTGTGAACTGGGGGGCTACTCCCACAGTGTTATTGCAGCTTGCCTTGAACTGTGAGTGGTTTGTCTCATGTGAACCTAGACGAGAAGGAGGGAAGTATAACTGGAAGAGACCAACACAACTGACTCACCTTTTTCAGATGAATTTATGCGCTTAATATTTTCCAAGGACAGTGGTTCAGAAGCGCCATATGATGGCAACTTGACACAATGCGATAAATAATTAAGACATCTTCATGCACATTTATGAAAAATACATTAATTGTGTGTGTGTGTGTGTGTGGTGCATGCCTAAGGAGAGGTCTCCTGTTACCAAGCGTGAAAACCAAGGTCCTACTTTATAGAGCAAAGTCCTCTGTTTTGAAGGCACCCTCCTGTAGTTGAAGTCCAAGTCCAGTTTAAAGCTAAACAAAACTAAGAAGAGAGAGCAGGAGGTGCCTCAAAATTGTTCATCCACATTTAACAGCTGGACAGCAGTCCAGTCATCTGGTCATGGAAGGTGGCTTTTCCACATGCTGTAGAGGGAAGTGAGGGGCATCAACTGGGAAGGTAGCCCATGGAGGAAGAGGAAAACTGATCCTAAACCTCTGCTGCCTTGCGGGATATCTTTGGGAGGAGGAGGAGAAGAAGAAGAAGAAGAGTTTGGACTTGATATCCCACTTTTCAGTCCCCTTAAGGAGTCTCAAAGCGGCTAACAATCTCCTTACCTTCCTTCCTCCCCCACAACAAACACTCTGTGAGGTGAGTGAGGCTGAGAGATTTCAGCGAAGTGTGACTAGCCCAAGGTCACCCAGAAGCTGCATGTGGAGGAGCAGGGAAGCGAACCCTGTTCACCAGATTACGAGTCTACCGCTCTTAACCACTACAGTACTACACCTTACACAAATCCAGAGTGGAGTCCCTAAGATGGTTGGACGGCACCTTCTACGCCTCCCTCCTGTAACCAAGCTGGTGCCAAACGCATTGTTCTGTTTTCCTTTGGACCACATCATCCTGTCATCTGGGCATCCCAGGATCCACATACAGGCTTGTGCCCCGGGGAGGTAACTTCGGTGCCGCTGATGCAGCAGTTTGACTTCACCCCTGGAGGTGCACTTCATTGCCTCTTGAGACAGACAGATGCCAACAGTACTCTAGACACCTGAAATAGCCCCTGTTTTGCTGCCCTTTTGCAAGCAGTGTAATGAGAGGGATTTAGCAAAGTTTCCCTGTGGATGGTGTGGTTGGGCAGAGGCACTTACTGGACTTCCCGAAAATTGAGTCCCTGTTTACTGAGCAGGAGAGGGGAAGAGGCAAGGCAGTGGGGCTCAGAGGCTTTGCTGATGTCAAGGTAAATTCTTAAAGGCCACAATTCCACATTGGCAACCCTTGCTTTTGCATAGCCTCAGGATTAATTTCTCACACCCACCTTTGTCACAAGGGTCAGTTTGCTTGGAAGAAGAGGGACTGATAGGGATTCCAGCAATCTCCCGAGTTTTGATTTCCCCAAGGCAAGACAGGGGACAGTGTCCATCGGTGGTTCTTTTTCAGGGAGCTGAAAACATGTATTAGCTGTCATTTAGTATGTGACACAACCCCAACACGAGAATTTATTGTGAAAAGGGGGGAGCTAATTATTTAACACCAATTTTGAACAGATAACATTTTATTTATTCCAGTCGGACACCGTTATTTACAAATACAAGTTAGTAAAACGTTTCACAAAACGAGTAAGATCCCACAGTAAATATTTATAGGTGCATAGTTCATGCTCAATTACTTTATATATATGTATATATGTATAGAAATATATTAACAACTTTCACAATAATGTTATCCTTTGACAGAAAAAGAAAGATCATAGGTAACAGTTAAAAAACCTTGTGTCAGAAACAATACCAAATTACCGACAACCCGTCAACGAAACATGTACAGCATTAGAAATAAGGAGTAGACACTTAGGTGTTTTTTATTTTATTTTAAAAACTGCTTCGGACTTTTTAGAACTTGAAGCCACAATATCCAGACAACAACAATGGCTCTGAGACCCAGACCTTCGTTCCAGAGGGAGGTCGGTCGCTGAAACGAAAACTGGACGCAGTTACAGATGCTCCGATCATTGCTGATGGAAGACTTCAAAAGACACTGTACAAACTATAAAAAGTAGTTCACGACTGGGCACATTGGAACTCAGCACTTGTACAGGACAGGATGTCTTTGCCAGCAGCTAACAGAAAGAAGAGAGTTGAATTCAAGCCTCGGGTTCATAATCCTGGTATTCTTCCTGTTGGAAACAGCAACATCAACATTGAAGAAGGAAGAGGAGGAAGAAGAAGAGAGAGAAAACATCTTAATATATGATGTGCTAAAGGTAAAGGTAAAGGGACCCCTGAACATTAGGGTCCTGTCGTGGCCGACTCTGGGGTTGCGGCGCTCATCTCGCTTTATTGGCCGAGGGAGCCGGCATACAGCTTCTGGGTCATGTGGCCAGCATGACTAAGCCGCTTCTGGTGAACCAGAGCAGCGCACGGAAACGCCGTTTACCTTCCCGACGGAGCAGTACCTATTTATCTACTTGCACTTTGACGTGCTTCCAAACTGCTAGGTTGGCAGGAGCTGAGACCAAGCAACGGAGCTCACCCCATCCCGGGGATTTGAACTGCTGACCTTCTGATCAGCAAGTCCTAGACTCTGTGGTTTAACCCACAGTGCCACCCGCGCCCCAATATGATATGCTAGTTCACACTAAGGTGGTACTTAGTTTCAGCTTGTTGCTCACTAGGGATGTATGGGTTAGAATGTTTTCACGTGTTTCCCTAAGCATCACTTCTCCTTCCCTAAGCTGGGCAGAAGCTTCCTGGGCTTTAGGAAAGAGGCAGAAGCCCCTGTCCCATTATGGGCAGAATGTTGGAGCGTATGCAATAGCAGCCTCTTCCCTTTGAAAGGAGAAGCATCATGTCATGTTCTTCTGCATCACTTTAATGCACAGAGTGGGAAAATCTTATGGGAACTACTTTGCATGATGGCAAATACACCATCTTAATGGAGACAGTTCTTTAGAAAATTCTGTAACGCAGTGCCATTCACAGTCCATTAAAGGCTAGAATTTTGTATTTAAATTTAAGTAGGTATACATCCGTAGGAACTTGACTGAAGAACACAAGCTATTAGAGGGGAAAGTGTTTTGCAGGGAGAACAAAAATCTACAATTCTAAAACGGCTTTTGAGAAATGATGTGCCCGAGGAAGCAGCCTGTGTGTGTCTTTTCACACTGAATAATAATATGAATCATGTTTGTGTTTTCTTTGATACTGGTTTAGGATCTGAAATTAAAGTCCTTACACTGAATTTACTGGTATTATAAGATAAATCACAAAGAAGGTGGCTCCCCCCCTTTTCTTTAATGTGAATGCAAATTAAAAAAATGTGCTTTTGAGTGAATAATTTAGCTTTGGCAGGCTTCCCCCCTCTCTTTCCATTATTGTTCTGGTATTGCTTTTGGGTTCTGTCGGTATGAGGAGCACAAAAATGGTTTTCATTCTAAGTAAGTGTTTTCACACCACCCAGGAGTACTGAGGGGGCATTGTTTTCTTTTAAAAGTTTTCATCATTAATACATGTTATTTTCCTTCTATCGTGGGGGTTTGCAGTTCAATAGCGTAACCTTAGGTTACTCTGAACTAAGTATCTCTTTGTTTAGTGGGGTTTACACCTAGATAAATGTGCATGGGATTATGTATGCATGTATGCATGTATGTATGTTTGTTTTTATTCCATGCTGGAGCAGTAAGTAGTGTGGTCTTGTGGAATGGTGCAGGGCAGTGGGGGCAGGGCCTGCCCACCCATGAGGTGCAATGAATCCACTGCCTCAGGTGGTGGAAACTGAAGAAGGAGCATGCCTGTGGTCACCCCACTGTCAGGGACTGGGCAGAGGAGGTGTAGACCGCCTCCCCATCCTGACCCTTCTAGGGAGGAGGAAGAGGAAGACAGTATAGATTTACAACAGGGGTTTGAGGGAGGTCACAGCTCAGCGGCAGATGAGGGGAAAAGTCAGGAAATCATGGGAGAGGCAAAGCAACACCCGGCTGACATGTTGTCATTAGAAAGCATTCTAGACCCTCCATCTCCCAGAACCTGGCGAGCCTTAAAAGTAGGAGAGCAAAGAGCTCAGAGACAGAGGGCACTTAACGGCACCCATAGAGGAGGTGATGAGAATGACTAATGAGGAAGTGGGAGAGACGGGTGTGTGGAGATTCACTTGGGACAACGCCATTATCTAAGAGACTGGGTTCTATAGCCTCTCTCTGAAAAGACTGAAATAAAAAAGAACTTTAGTAAACTTTTCCTTGTCTTCATACTTTCCTGGGCAACCAGATGGGAGCTGCTGACAGCATCCTAACACCCATCTACTCCACCATTGATGGAGAAGCCACACCAGTTTCCAGCGAGATCTCACAAAAAATTCATGAGATTGTGAGAGATTTCAGTGAGATCTGGCAAGATGTTGCCAGAAACTGGCGCCACTGCCGGCACTGCTTCTCCATGGGTGGCAGCATGTGGGGTGGCCACAGGTTTCTTCTGTGAGTGCAGTACATGTTTATTGACAAACTAGTTTCTAAATTTCTAAATTTCCAACACTTCAAGGTGCCCATTAATAGTATACTCTGTGAGAACCCATCAAAGAAAGTTTTTACCTCAGGAGGCATTTCATAGGCCTCGTTTTCTGGGTCTGCTGGCATGTCTGGCATTCCTTCCTGCGGGAGGCCTTCTTCATTCTGCAATTGTAGACAAGAGGAGGAAACAATAGCATGGCAGATTTCTTCTTAGTTTAATTTGAAATGCAACCCGTCACTTCCCACTTCCAATAAAGCTATTTGTTGCTCGGTTTGGTTAATGGAGTACTGAACATAAAATGTTCCATCGGTGCCACAGAGAAAGTGGAAGACAGAAATTTCCCTTAAAAGGAGAACTGCTCCTCATTTTTTCCATTTTAAATTTTGGTAAACGTTTCAAAAATATTTAATGAAACCCGGAAGGCTAGTGGCAATGTGGGTGCAGCTGTTGTTTCTCACAGGCTTCCATATAAATTATAAATCCATCATGAAAATTAACACAGTCCTTCTTACTCACAATGCTTGTAAAGGTATATTTGTGCCAGCAGAAGTAATTCTGTCCTCCCCTTCCCAACAGCCGGAAGGCCCTCATCTTGGTAGTAGAGCTTTGCATGCAGAAGGTCCCAGATTCACTACAGCATCTCCAGGGAAAAGATTCCTTGTCTGGTGCCACTGAGCTAGGAAGACCCATAATTCTGCATTGCAGAGGGTTGGACTGATCCCCATAGTCCCTTCCAACTCTACAATTCTATGATTCTATGACTCAGTATAAGACAGCTTCCTAACAGATCTAATGGCTCTCCCTGCCCCAGCATGCACACTTAGTGCGTGTACCCCATGAACATGTATGTGCTTCATAAACAGCTCTTCTACTGCAAACGTAGTCTGTTGGTGGTACATTGTTGTTTACCTTGGCATAGATGGATTGATATTGGTGTGCCTGTGTAGCGTGCAGATGTTCTTAACCATGGACTAGATCACCTTTTCTGTACGTTGCAACCCTATGATTCCCTGCTTAACAGCTTTAACAAGCTCCAGGCTTGCGAGATGCAGGAAGCCATAGATCATTCGAAAGCAGCAATTACTGGTAGGCTAAGACATATTTGACAGTCAAGATGGAGTAAACGGAGCTAACAGGGAAATCATGGGAAAGTGGCCCCTTCGTCCTGGGCTGAGATACCTAATGAGCTACTAGATGCAACATCCGTCACTGACATATAAAACAGGCAGCATGCAAGCAAGTCCTCAGTCATACTTGGTTGATTGACCTGTCTCACAATGTCTTCTGATGGGGACCTTAATTCAAATTTAGATCAAGAACTTCAGCAGCAACATCTGTTTTAGTTTTATATTCTAAATTCTGCCAATTGGCTGGCTTGGTTTCTCCTACAAGTATCTGAAGCTGCTGCTCTTAAAACTGTTGCCTTAAGCCAGCTGAAATGAGATGAGATGATTTTAAACCCGTGCTTTTTTCTGGGGGGGACGCAGGGGCACGCTTATCCCTAAACATTTTGTGAATCTAAGTTTGGCCTCATTGAGGGGCAGCATTTCAATATGAGTAGGAAAATGAGAGTACCCCTAAACTTTTTTTTAAAAAAAGGAAAAAAGCACTTCTTTAAACTATCACCAGCAAAGGTCCTACAAGGGGCACTGCAACCCAAACATTTCCAAGTACCCCAGAGATGGGCAGAGGAGAGGCAAACAAACATCCTTTGAGTACTTTTGAAAGTAAAGCATAAAAAATGCAATCACGTGTTCATGTAGGTGGGCAAAGCAATAGCTGTAAATAAAAGATCATGCATGTTATAATTCACTTTCTTTTCTTATATAATTAAGGACATGAACCAAAGGAATGCATCACTACTTCACCTATGGAGAATTCAGTCAAACCGCTGCACTAGAAAGTTTTGGAATTATAATCATGTTACGTCTATATATAGCACAGTCCATAGCACATTTTCTGTGACAAGCGAGTTGAAAGTTAAGATTTGACAGAACCTTCCTTCCTTCCTTCCTTCCTTCCTTCCATCTGCTGTTGTCCCTGGTTAAATAGATTTGAAATGCTTCAAAAGCAATACAAATTCTACCAAACCTGTTTATTGGAGGTGACTGTGGCAAAGCTGTGTGTATAAGACATGACTACTCATTGAAAGTGTTCATCTTTTGACTTTACAGTGGTACCTCAGGTTAAGTACTTAATTCGTTCCGGAGGTCCGTACTTAACCTGAAACTGTTCTTAACCTGAAGCACCACTTTAGCTAATGGGGCCTCCTGCTGCTGCCGCGCCTCCGGAGCCCGATTTCTGTTCTCATACTGAAGCAAAGTTCTTAACTTGAAGCACTATTTCTGGGTTAGCGGAGTCTGTAACCTGAAGCATATGTAACCTGAAGCGTATGTAACCTGAGGTACCACTGTATTATGACCACTGCATACCCTGTTCCTTAAAAAATAACACCAGATGAATTAACTTTCATTTCCACACACTATCCACTTTAACATCTGCTTTATTGATTATTATTTTTTAGTTTTCCTTAAAAAATATATGTTGGGTTGGATGTAAAGTAAGTTAATTGCACTTTAAGTCTCACTGATTTCAAAGGCAACTAAGTGCTACTAATTTAGTCTGTATTGAACCCATAATAATTAAACATTTGTGAATTCCTGATGTTTTCCCCACAAACTGCACAATCCTATGGCCGTTTATTCAGAGGCAAGTCTTACAGAGGTTCCTGGGGAAGTAGACAAAGGGTTGTGGTGACAAGCTATTTTTGCACTAGTCATGTTGCATCCATTCGAAACCCCTGGCAAAAATTATCCCAAAGGTGGGTAAATTTGAAGAATTTGGTCTCCAAGGTTACAGATACCAATAACTTAAAATAAGACACAAAACAGCCCCCCTTTTAAGATTTGGGAGTATTCAGTAATTTTACTCCCCATCAGAATGCTTATTGATTTTGAGGTTTGTGCTGATCACGAGCTTAACGTTTTGTGTTTGCCTTCACATTTCTTTTAAAAAGCAGACTTTCCTTTTGGCTTGCTGGGAATGTAATGCGTGTCAAGCAAAACACACTTATAAATGGCTCTTGAGGTTCCACAAGAAAGAACATGTCTGCCTTCTAATGCCGTCTGTAGCAGGAAAGCAGAAGGCATCTGACTTTAATAAAAATGGAGAGAACCATTTTTTGCTGGCTGAGTTGCAGGCAGAAAATCATAAACTACTGGGACCCACTAGATTTTCTAAACATACGCCTCAGCTACCTGACAGGTTATTCTGGACTGGTCTGTACTGAGCAAAGCAAAATGACCAGGGTAGTACATTCTGAGGCAGTAAAATGTGTCACTTAAGAGAAGAGATAGTCACATTACTGAATGCTCCCTTACAGAAAAAGCTCCCTGCAATTATAAAACTATCAGAGATGTGAATAGGCTGGAATTGAACCTCTGTCTGTTTGGCTGATTTTTTTTTAAAAAAAATAATCTTGTAACAGGCAGTTTGTTGCACATGGGGGAACATTCAAAAATGGAATCCCCCACATGCAGCCTGAAGTGGTACACTCCATGCTACCAGCTCTGGATTACAGTACCTGTAGACCAGACCAGATTCTGATGCACCTTGTAGACCAGACTTAAGAAAATAAAGATATATGTCTTAAATTAGGTAGAAACATGTGCATAAAAAATGAATATATTCATGAAAATACCGTATTTTTCGCTCTATAAGACGCACTTTTTGCCTCCTAAAAAGTAAGGGGAAATGTGTGTGCATCTTATGGAGCGAATATGGAGGCTGCACAGCTATCCCAGAAGCTAGAACAGCAAGAGGGATTGTTGCTTTCACTGCACAGTGATCCCTCTTGCTGTTCTGGCTTCTGGGAGATCCCTCTTGCTGTTCTGGCTTCTAGGATAGCCATGCGAAGCCTCCTCAGGGCAGGGGGAGGAACGCTCCCCTGCCCTGAAGAGGCTTTGTGCAGCTATCCCAGAAGCCAGAACAGCAAGAGGTATTGCTGTGCAGTGAAAGTGGCAATCCCTCTTGCTGTTTTGGCTTCTGGGAGTCAGAGTAGTGTTTTTCTTGTTTTCCTCGTCCAAAAACTAGGCGCGTCTTATGGTCTGGTGCGTCTTATAGAGCAAAAAATACGGTAACTTGCAAAATTCATATTAGGAGAAATTGCTTGCAAAAGTGTGTACATTAGGCAAAACTGCAAACTAAAATGTGTTTATCAGGAGAAAGTAATATTGAAATGCTGAAGAATTTTCATGAGTTTTTTTAAAAAACAACAGCAGCAGCAGCAACAACAACCCCGCAAATTGTGCTGAAATGTGGAGAACTGAATTTTAGGCTTGAAATATTGAGGAACTGAGATAATTGAAATGGACAGGTCTTCCCAATCGTACTTGCACACAGTTTGATCTTTTGTTGTGTTCCTGTCTAGCAATACTGACCTTCATTGATTGCTTGCTCCTTAAACTAGCAATTACCGAATTAACCCAGATCTTGACTTTTTGGATCCATGCCTAAGTGCACTCTCCAACCTGTTAGCTAAGCTCCTGACACTGTTTAAAGAATGAAACCCAATAGCTGCATCATCCTTTATTCTTCTGCAATTATTTATCTGCTGCCAATTAACTTTAATGAGAAAAGCTGGGTGTTTTTCTGACCATCAACGCAAGCAAATACAGTACAACTGTTGTTGAACATGTTTATCTAGCAAACAATCATTTTAGAGTATTATATTTTAGATTATATTTTTTATATTGTATCATTTGAGCAGTGCTATGTTTCTTAAAGTATCCTCAACAAAAGATCATAGTGAATTGGGATGATTATTTCCACTAAGAAGCTGTGCTGAGCAGGCAGATAGATGCCTGTTCTCTCTTCAGTTAAGACCCCAGAATTAGCATAATTATTCCTGTTAAGCTTACAGAAATCTACCTCTTTTAATCAGCAGAGTTTATAATAATTTCCTGTCTCCGGTTACTACTGTCTGGTATGCAATGAAATATTTAGCAGCTTTATTCGGTTACAAGTTCAGCATTTTCTTAATGAGACCATCTTGTTAAACAAGACCAACAGAATTTTTGAATATGGACACATAATATTTTCAGTTGTGTTTCTCTTTCTTACGTTCAGATACCTGGGACAGGGACCCTGATGCAGAGGACACCTTTATGAAAGTGAACCAGCTGGAGAGAGAGGGAGGGAGAGAGAGAGAATGGGGGAGAAGGGGAAGGGAGGAAACTAGAAAATTGTAGAGTTGGTAGCAGTGGTGTAGCATGGGTTGCCCGTGCCCAGGGCCGTGAAAAAGCGTGGGTGGGAGGGAGGAAAATGGATGGAATATGCATGTGCATTCAACTGCCTAACAGTGTCTGTGTCACCCAGGAGATTGCAGCCACAGAGATAATAAAAGAAGAGTTGTTCTGCTTTCTGGAGAGGTCACTTCCTGGTCAGAATCCTGTTCTCATGGTGGCCACCCAGATGCCTGCAGAAAACCCTCAAGACAGAACCGAGCACAACAGCCCTCCAGTGGTTTACCGCAACCGGCATTTGGATGTTAACATCAGACCATGGTTTAGTGTTATAGGGATGAGCCTGAGTGAGCCACAAAGAGACCAGAAGCTTTCACTTTCATTTTTGACTAACTGCAGTTCCTCATTTTGTCCAAATGTGCGATCTATGTTAGTCTTAACTGGTACCCAGGGTCATTTAAAAATGCTGAGTTATTTTCTAAGCCAGTTAAGACTAACCACAGTTTGTTTGGGCGTAACAAGTGATTGCGGTTAGTTGAAGATGGAAGCGAAAGCTTCCAGTTTCCTCATCGTGGCCATGCTGAAGGAGGTGGAGGGAACATGAGTTCTGAGGCTTATGCATATTATGCTAACTAGATCATTGTTTACGTATATATGCAGGCACAGTAATGACTTCAGTGTTTACAAATAAGCAAGTGAGTGGTATTTTCTAACATGCAAGACTTACTCCATGTATAATCTCAGACAAATGCAATTTCCAGATGAAACATTAATAAATATGTACTAAGGGGTGGCTAGGACTGACAAACACTCATGCTCTCTGGGTGCATTATTTGTCTTCTCAAAATGAGGTAAGAGAACTGTAATTGTGCTTACCTATGATTAATGGAGGGCAGTACAGAAAATGCTGTAACCTCAGCTAAATTAGGCTACGGCAGGGAGGATTGTATTCTTGATTACGTGCTTATTAATGTCACTAGAAACACCCACATTTTATGCTGCCTGGCATGATTAGCTATTCAGAACATGAGATGTGTATTGCACAGAAATTGATTTTTTTTAAAAAAATGTAGTAGTATTTAAATACTATTTACACCTTCTCGAACCGTTCACAGTCTCTGTTTTCTGGTACCTCTAGGGATAAAATCAGTGTTCCAATTTTATCCCCATCTTTGCCTTTGCAGATGCTGTCTTTAAATGTTATCTGAGTTGCTAGCCTAAGGTTATATTTCTTCAGGGATCAGTCCTGTCCTCTAGGATCTAGATGGGTTTGCTACCAGACTGCTGTGAATAAGGCTGGCGCTATGGGGCTCCATACATACAACATTCTATTCTAGGACCAGAGGAGATTGAGCACAGCAACCCCCCCCCCCCAATCTTGCATGCATTTAACACAGGCAATTTCAACCATACGCAGTTGAAGACAGGCTGGTGAGGGGAAGGAGAGGTGGGAGGAAATTGGAAGCCCCAAGTAGACCTGGTGCAAAAAGGAGCTATTAATTTCTCAGTCTTCCTTCCAGGTCAGGTCCCTCTCAGGGTGCCTTTGGATGGTGGCATGGCGGTTCTGGGACAATCTGGGTGCCACAATTTAAGAAGGATATTGACAAGCTGGAAAGTGTGCTGAGGAGGGCAACAAAGATCATCAGGGGTCTGGAAACCAAGCCTTATGAGGAACGGTTGAAGAAGCTGGATATGTTTGGCCTGGAAAAGAGGATATGATAGCCAACTTCAGATATCTGAAGGGCTGTCACATGGAGGATGGAGCAAGCTTGTTTTCTCCTGCTCCAAAGGGTAGGACCCAAACCAATGGCTTCAAGCTACAAGAAAGGAGATTCCGACTAAACATCAGGAAGAACTTTCAGACAGTAATAGCTGTTCAACGATGGAATGGACTCCCTCGGGAGGTGGTGGACTCTCCTTCCTTGGAGGTTTTTAAGCAGAGGTTGGGTGGCTATCTGTCTTGGATGCTTTAGTTGAGATTCCTGCACTGCAGGGGTTTGGATTAGATGACCCTTGGGATCCCTTCCAACTCTATGATTTTAATCTTGGTTTTGGCATGGTTAATGAGAAGAGAGCTTAACCACAAGTCCTGGTTCACTGTGCCAAACCTTGACTTAGCACAACAGCAAAGTGGCTTCAATCTGGGACACCACATAGTAAGCCATAGTTTGGCTTGCTGTGTTGTGTGAACAAGGACAGTGTATAATAAACGGAGGGGAGCCTTAAAAAATGAGCAGTGATGACGACGGGAAACTTAGCGCAGTAATTCTTGGGCATTTCATCTGTGTGAAATGTCAGGCTCCTGACCACCACCCATGCCATTTCACCTGTTGTTGTTGTTGTTTAGTCGTTTAGTCGTGTCCGACTCTTCATGACCCCATGGACCAGAGCACGCCAGGCACTCCTGTCTTCCACTCCCTCCCGCAATTTGGTTAAACTCATGCTGGTAGCTTCGAGAACACTGTCCAGCCATCTCGTCCTCTGTCGTCCCCTTCTCCTTGTGCCCTCCATCTTTCCCAACATCAGGGTCTTTTCCAGGGAGTCTTCTTTCTCATGAGGTGGCCAAAGTATTGGAGCCTCAGCTTCAGGATCTGTCCTTCCAGTGAGCACTCAGGGCTGATTTCCTTAAGAATGGATAGGTTTGATCTTCTTGCAGTCCATGGGACTCTCAAGAGTCTCCTCCAGCACCACAAAGCACCAATTCTTTGGCGATCAGCCTTCTTTATGGTCCAGCTCTCACTTCCATACATCACTACTGGGAAAACCATAGCTTTAACTATAGGGACCCTTATTGGCAAGGTGATGTCTCCTTTTTAAGATGCTGTCTAGGTTTGTCATTGCTTTCCTCCCAAGAAGCAGGCGTCTTTTAATTCCGTAACTGCTGTCACCATCTGCAGTGATCGCCATTTCACCTAGCATGACTCATTACAGAGAGAAGGGCAGTGATAAGCGCATAAGAATAGCCCTGCCGGATAATGCCAGTGGCCCATCTATCCTGCATCCTGGGCCCCCAATGGCCAACCAGATGCCTGTGGGAAGCGCACAAGAGCCCTCTCCCATCCTGCAGTTTCTAACAACTGGCATTCAGAAACATTGCTACCTCTGACCACGGAGGCTGAGCAAGGCCATTATGGCCAAATATACATGAGGTATGGGAGCCAACAAGCACTTTGAGCGTTATTCCCTGCTGAACTGTAACATTATGCTGTATAAGGAGAGAGTAACAGCCACAAACTGTGTTTGAAAATCTGCAGTACACCTAAGAAAAGACTCTTGCTGTTGTTGAAGTGGTTGCTCTGCAGTTATTGACATTGTGCGTTTCTCTCTCAAGAGCTCCCTTAGGTACAATGCATACACTAACGTCCGTCTACCAGGATGGTGTTTAACATTTCTTCCAGTTGAAAGAAAAGGCATCACTCGGTTGGAGAAAGTACCTGCAGTGATGATTAGAACATGAAAGCTTTTTGGATTCTCCCCAGCATTGGTAAACTACTAGGGTAAAGTATGAATACAGTGGTAACCTCGGGTTACAGATGCTTCAGGTTACAGATGCTTCAGGTTACAGACTCTGCTAACCCAGAAATAGTACCTTGGGTTAAGAACTTTGCTTCAGGATGAGAACAGAAATCGTGCTCCGGCAGCGCAGTGGCAGCGGGAGGCCCCATTAGCTAAAGTGGTACCTCAGGTTAAGAACAAACCTCCAGAACGAATTAAGTTCTTAATCCAAGGTACCACTGTATTCAAGAAGATGAGCATGCAGGCTAACAAGCATTTCGCTTAGCTGATTACCCTCCGGAAGCAGGCAAAACCTTATTATTGGCTTTAAGAGTGCAGGTTACATCTGCTACTAACTTGAAGGATTCGCATGATTGGCTTCGCCAGTCTTCTTGCTCCAGAGCCACTGGGCTTTTTTTATGTTATCATAAAACCATTCCATTCCTCTTCTTGGCATAGAGAGACAGTGGGGTGTACTGGTTTAATAATAATAATAATAATACATAATAATAATAATAATAATAAATTTTATTTATATCCCGCCCTCCCCAGCCGAAGCCGGGCTCAGGGCGGCCAACAACAACAAAACAGTACAAAAGTACAGCACAAACAACACTCTAAAATCATTCATCATAAAATAGCCACTGGCTATTTGAGTGTTGAAATAGGACCTGGGGGACCAGGGTTCAAATCCCCACTTGGCCATGGGGCTCATTGGGTTACTCTGGGCTAGTCACTGCCGCTCAACCCAGCCTACCGCATATGGAGAGATAGAGAGCCATGTGCATCACCTTAAGCTTCTTGGAGTAAAGTAATATAATATACTTCCGCACATACCGCACATAGTTAAATTATAGGTGTGGTGAGACAACCATAAACTTAAGATAGCTTTAAAAGGAAATAAGACAATTCATAGAATCATAGAACCCTTCCCAACTCTACCTAGTATACCTGAAGGAGCGTCTCCACCCCCATTGTTCTGCCTGGACGCTAAGGTCCAGCGCCAAGGGCCTTCTGGTGGTTCCCTCACTGTGAGAAGCAAAGCTAGAGGGAACCAGGCAGAGGGCCTTCTCGGTACTGGCACCCGCCCTTTGGAATGACCTCCCATCAGATGTCAAAGAGATAAACAACTACCTGACATTTAGAAGACATCTGAAGGCAGCCCTTTCAATGTGTGACATTTTAATGTATTTTTAATCTTTGTTGGAAGCTGCCAAGAGTGGCTGGGGAAACCCAGCCAGATGGGTGGGGTACAAATAATAAATTATTATTATTATTATTATTATTATTATTATTATTATTATTACAATATATTTTGTGAGGTGAGGTGACCAGGGCTATACACAGTACTCCAACTGTGGTTGCACAGTTTGTATAGCTGCATTATGATCTTGGAAGTTTTTATTTTCAATTCAAAGGAATTTGCCTTTTCCACAGCCACTACACACTACTGTCCATCACACATTATTGCTCTTCACACCCAACCATGATTTTTTTTAAAACACATGCTGTGGGCAGCAGCAAGACCAAGAAGGCATTTTCCTGGGTTCACCATAATTATTTGATGGCATTACATAATCTGAAAGATGATCACTGGGTTCCATCAGCTGAGGGTATATGACTGAAAACCAAATAGGAAGTTAGGCTACGCAGACCACAAGTACAGTAGGAGCAGCCTGAGGATAATAATCACAACTCTCCCTCCCACAAGTAACATTTGCGGTTGAGCTAATGAATACTGACAAGCTGTCTAGAATTATGTAGCAATACCAGCTTTTAAGAGCATGCTGGCGCTGATACAGGACTCCACTTGTGTGCGTTCTCTCACATTTGCATAGAGGAAAGAGAGATATAACTGAAGGAACGGGTGGCTTTACACATAATTCCGAAGCAATGCCAGTGACTGATTGTGCTTGGAACACAACATACAGAAACAGGCTTCCTTTTCTCTCTACTATTTGTTACGGACCGGTTGGACGCAGAGGAATGGTAGGAGGAACCAGCTGGGGAACCCCAAGGGAAGAAGGCTCAGAGCCTGGGATTGGTAGGACAACACTGAGTGGTCAGAGAGAGAAGACTGGGAGAAGGTGTCAGAAGCTGAAGAGATAACAGGGCTTAGAGATCAGGGAGAGTCTGTGGCAAAGAGACGCCTGGAATCAGAATCAGAATCTGCAGCAGGAGAGTAGAGTGTGGGGAGGAGGTGGCAAGAGGCAGAGATGAGTCAGGCTGGTGAAGAGACATGGGTGTTTCCCACTCCTGCTGTGACCAGCTCCTCTCCTCCACTGGTCTCCCATAACCTGAAGAGGTATGACAGGCAAGAGGATGGGGCTTCAGATTACCTGGAAAGGAACCAGGGGAGGAGGAGACTTAGGGAGCTGTGGGAAGGCAGGTGTGCTGGGCCCGGGGGTAACCCGAGCAACGTGGTCCAGGTCCGGTCCCGAATCCAAGTGTTCCGCGAGGAGTGAGTCCGACAGGACCATAGCAGGACAAGAGGCAGGAAACCAGGCAAGGTCAGGCACAGGCTCACAGGCAGGTTCTGGCAAACAGCAACATTGCTCCCGCAACCTGGGGTGGGGTCCGACAGCCTTTTATCTCTGTTGGGGTAACGGCCGGTCCTGACCCCCTGGGGACTCACCTCCCTGTCTCACCCGTAGGTGAGCACCCCTCCTGCAAGTACTCAGGTCTCTCCTTCTCTCAGACCTCAGTCTCTGCAGCTTGGGAGATGTCGGTGGGTTACTAGACCCAGAGGCCACCTCAGCCTCTCCTGACCCAACTGGTAGTGGAGCAACTGTAAGTGATGGCCCAGCTGAAGGCAAGGAGGTAATCCCTGCATCTGGAGCCAGGGCAGGCTCAGGCCCCTGACTCAGCCCAGCTGGTGCTTGTTGTAGGGGAACCTGTGCAGACTCGGGCTCTTCAGAATCAGGCCCCAGACTCAGTTCAGATGCCACCTGAGGCAGAGGATCCGGTGCGGACCGAGACTCCTCTGGCTCCAAGTCCAAACCATCACAGCAGGGACCTTCAGTGGTAAAAACTGGGAGTAATATCGGCTGCTCCCTGTTCACTCACTGGCTCTGTTGGGCACAGCAGAAGGTGGACGTGACAATGCATTGGAGGAGCAGCAACTACCAACAGCTGCCCCTATCAGTGAGGAGACTAGGCTCACTGAAGCAGGAGAACCAATCTTGCCCAAGTCCTCCCCCACTCTCCAAAAACTGCCACCCTCTGGGAGGTGAATGCCAATCTCAAGCAAGATATTCACTGCCATCTTTCCTTCAGAGTTCTTTTATTGCTTATATGAGCACCTTCACTTTTCCAGTCAATTCCGAGCAAAAGGATCAGCGCAGGTCAGCTTGCTGGGTTTCAGCCAAGTGGAATTTCCCTTTCCCAGGTACTACAAAGGCATCCAGCAGAGGACTCAAAGGTCAAGAGCTGTCACATGGGCTTCTTCGTGCTGTTGCAATTCTGCCTCTGGTGCATATGCATATTTCCTGAATAATAATGATCTCTCCCAAAGATCTCCATTTTTAAGTGATGGAATGTGTATTCTGAGTCAATACCTTGCTGTAGTCTTCAAACTACAAGATGGTGAGATGTACACCAATATTCTGGAGGGTATTTTAACAAACAACAACAACAAAACAAAAACAGCAGCTTGCATTTTTCTGAAAACCTTCTTGTCTTAGAAATGCCCTTTGGAGAAGCAATCATTGGCTTCACTGAACAGTTTGACATTAATCCATAGCCTGGTCTTCACTAACAATGACCTCTAGCTGTTTGGACTACATTCCCATCAGCCCCAGCTGATGTGGTTGTGCTCTGTGAACAGGATCTAGATTGAAACATACAGTTGTGATTGTAGGGCCCTTTCTGCTTTCTGTTTTCCCAATGAAAGCTTCTTCCTTCCATGTGCTGTTGACCTCCAACACTGCTATTTCCTACAAACAGTTTTGTGGGGGAAGTCAACAGGGAAATGACACAGAGGCAAAGTGTTAAACACTCCATCTGTGCCCTAGTCCTGACCTACATTATCACACTTCTGGCATTGCTGTTAAGAGAGACAGAGAGATGAGAGGATCCCAGGACCAGGGTTCTAGCTGGAGCTGATCCTACTGTTGGGCAAAGGAAGGAGGCCACATCAGGCAGCTGATTCTGGGTGTCACATAAGGGCAGCAGATGTTCAGCTGTGCATTGCAGGAAGTACAGTATCTGGTGGAGATCGTAAGTGTAAAAGAGAAGTATAATAAATGTAGGTATGAGAAGGAGAGATTTTGGCTTCAGGTCTCCTGCTGCATAAAAGCAAGAGGAATAAGTACAAAGTTTCCCAAAACTATCATTACTAATCCAATTTATACCCTACAATGAAAGGAAGCATCTGAATAATGGCTTGTGGGAAGCTAGATTTACTGCTTTTGATTGCCATACTCATCTCTTCCTACATGGGGGGGAACAGAGTGAGGAATCGGGAAAACATTAGGCATTTAAGAGCAATTTCTGAAAGACAGAAGAATGGATTTAGGGAAGCAAAAGACAGGAGCATTTCATAACTGAGCCACAAAACGGCTGGATCTCCTGTCTCTGTGATTACCTATTACCTACAATTCATTTGTGACATTTCCTCCCCCTTGATGGTGAAAAAGCAGCTGAGTCCTCAACAGGTACTTCATCAAGAGTGTGAAGTAGTATAACAATGTTCTGATGATGCCGGCAGGATCTCTGGCTATAGTATGCCTTGAACTGAAGCTCATCCTAAAAAAATATGGATCATATATACCGTTTGGATTTCTCAGGCTGGCTTATAAATGAAATTGGCTGCTGTTGCCTGCTGCTAATCAGTGTCATTGGCTGTGCCACAGAGTTCAAACATTAGAGGCAGGGACAAAACTCTTTTAGAAAGTAAGAAGAGCCTTCTAGATCAGGCCCGTGGCCCACCTAGACCAGCATCCTGTTCTCACAGAGGCCAACCAAGAAAGAAAATGAAGATAGCAATTTAGTGGCATGAGAAAATTGTTGCAGATTTCAATATTGTGTTGTTTGAAGTGACTGGAAGCACTGACTCCTTTTGGAAGAAATCTTTGTCCATGCCCACATGGACAATTTTTTTACTGGCAGACCTCTTCAAAACAAAATATAAGCATCAAAGATACAACCAAGATATCCTTACAATTTCTTGTGCTTTGCAGCACAGGTTCAACAGACCTATAAGCAAAGTTTCCTCTCTTTAACAGCATCCATTTCCCGGAGCTGTTTTCCTTGAGAGCTTCATTTACATCTTCTGTTCCTTGTGGCATTCAGACAAAGAACTAACTGCCACCACCCTTTCAAGATGGCGAATTTGCAGCTCAGTACCTTGGTCACCTGATCTAAGGTGACAACACTTTAGAGTAACAGAAAACAATTGGGGAAAAATTCCTTCCAGTAGCACCTTAGAGACCAGCTAAGTTAGTTATTGGTATGAGCTTTCATGTGCATGCACACTTCTTCAGTGTCAGAAGAAGTGTGCATGCACATGAAAGCTCATACCAATAACTAACTGAGTTTGTTTCTAAGGGGCAACTGGAAGGAATTTTTTTATTTTGTTTCAACTACGGCAGACCAACACAGCTACCTACCTGTAACTAGAAAACAATCAGTAGGTAATCACTAACCCATTTAGGAGCTTAGAGCCCCTTGGAAAAACTACTGTGTAAAACCCCCAATGTTAGCAATACACATTTAGCCATTTTCCCTTTTAAACTTTCGTTAATACATATATATCTCAATTAAATCTATTATACTTAACAAATCTGGCTTAGAGAATGAGCTGGTTGACCACCATTCTTAAAGGCTGACCTTTAGCTAATTTGCTGCTTGCTGGTGCAGTGAAGTGGGAACAATCCCAGAAGTGGAACCAGACTTGAATTATAATCAAACCAGCTCCCTACCACTGGACGAAATCCACTGCTGTGCCAACCCTGATCAGTTACCATGCAGCATCTGCTTAAAAACATGTAATATTTATTTTTATTCAGACAGTCGTACCTTGGATCCCAAACTCCTTGCGAGTCGAATGTTTTGGCTCCTAAACGCCACAAACCCAGAAGTGAGTGTTCCAGTTTGCAAACGTTCTTTGGAACCCAAACGTCCGACGCAACTTTCGCGGCTTCCGAATGTTTTGGAAGTCGAATGGACTTCTGGAACGGATTCCGTTCGACTTCCAAGTTACAACTGTATTTATTAGTTGCTTTTTCAAAAAAGAAACAAAAGCTACTCAAAGCTACTCACAGCAGTAAATAAATATCACATACTTGAAAACCAGCATAAAAACAAAACAAGGGTAGGGGGCGGGAATCCAAAACGTATGCATATATTTTTTTAAGTTCCCTGGGAAGAAGGACTGTTAAGCTACTGTGGGATTTGCAGCCTCTCATCACCCTTAAGAAATAACAGCTCTGGGGATTCTTTGGGGGGAAGCCCAAAGTGATATAACAGTGCTTTAAATGTATGGATGAGACGTGGCCTGTCTCTCCCACGTCACACAAGACGTGGCCCTTAGTCATGGGCTGCAGCTGTCCTGGCCTTACTCCTCAGTGCTCACCCCTTCCCCCCTCTCATTCTCTCAGCAGGCTTTTCAGAGAGAGAAGTGGCCTTTATAGCATGCAAAGCCCAATAATTACTTATCTGGGTTTGTCACTAAGTAGGAAGAGCGTATCAATTTGTTTTGGTCTCTGTGCAACCTTGCTATTATCTCTTTCAGTGGGACGCCTGGATAAAAAAGAAGGCTGTATCTCTCTCTCTCTCTGTGTGTGTGTGTGTCTGTGTGAAATTACCGTAACTTGTGTGGGGTTGAATAAAAGCGAGTTGCATTTCCTGCTTTACTTGACAACCTTTTTCTTAAAACCAGTTTTCTGATAGTGAACCAAATGAAAACCTAAGAAATGCTTTGGTTCCATTTCCTCAGTGTTTCCACTGATCTGGCAGCAACACTTTCTCCTCCCAGATACTGAAGGGCCAGCGCTCAGTTCGTTGGCCAAGAAGCTATGCCTTAATATACCAGATATGAAATGAAGTCTTGATAATAAACTGTACAATGCAGCATTCAGAACTCTGGGCGTTCCTCTGCAACAGGAACACAGCAACACGTCCTGAATGGACAAAGGGGGCATTTGAAATGAACCCTTTTGTTACTCTTTTGTTGTGTAATTTTGTAAGGGGGGAAATATTGGCTATTTGTGGCATTCAGCTGCGTAGGATGTAGGACTTCATTTATTCACTGATGTCTTGTTTCATTCTGGCGTCGTCTGGTAAATTAGTGGTTTAATAACCCAATGGCGGGGGAGATCTCATTTTTCAGAAAACATGGTGCTTTTTGAGAATACAAGAAGAGCTTTGCTGGGTCAGGCCAATGGCCCATCTGGTCCAATCAACTGTGCTGACCCTGAGGAGGACCTGAATGCAAGAGCCCTCTCCCTTCCTGCGGTTTCTAGCAACTTTTGAAACAGAAAGTGCTTCCTTATGCAGAGTCTATCTGGTTCACTTCATACCCCGAATGGAGACTGACCACCAAGGTCTTTCCCATAACATCTCCATGAGATCCTTTTAAATGCAGACACTAGAGATTAAAGGTAGGAACTTACTTCATGAGGGTAAAGGTAAAGATAAAGGACCTCTGAATGGTTAAGTCCAGTCAAACACGACTATGGGGTTGCTGCGCTCATCTCGCTTTCAGGCTGAGGGAGCTGGCGTGTGTCCACAGATAGCTTTCCAGGTCATGTGGCCAGCATGACTAAATTGCTTCTGGCACAACGGAACACTGTGATGAAAACCATTTACCTTCCCACCATAGCGGTACCTATTTATCTACTTGCACTGGCGTGCTTTCGAACTGCTAGGTTGGCAGGAGCTGGGACTGAGCAACGGGAGCTCACTCCATCACGGGGATTCAAACTGCCAACCTTCTGATTGGCAAGCCCGAGAAGCTCAGTGGTTTAGACCACAGCACCACCCGTGTCCCATTTACTTCATCACTTCTACTATTATTTAATGCCCTCCACCTGCAAGCTGGAAAACTAGATGCTTTTGTTTATTTATAACACTTATATCCTGCCCCGCCCCCCGGAAACTCAAGGTGACACATATGGGTTCTTCTCCTTCTCCTGTTATCTTTGCAACAACCTTGTGAGGAAGTTTAGGCTGAGAAAGAGTGACAGGTCCAAGATCATTCAGTGAGTTCCATGACCAAGTGAGGATTAGAACCCGAATCTCCTTGGTCACAGCCAGACACTCTAATCATTATACTGCAACTACTCCTAGTGGGGTGTATTCCTCAGTTACACAGAAAGCTGCGTTATGCCATTGTCAGACCACTGGACCACCTACCTCAGAATTGTCTAGCAAGGGTAGTTGACGCAGTGTCCTCCAGAGGTTGTACAACTCACATCACCTCACATTTATATACCAAAACAACCCAAAACTTCCAAGCAGGTTATAGGGTGGGTGTTAGAATTCCACAACATCTGGGGCACCAGATGCTAATCATTGTCTGCTGCAGGGATGCAGATCCTGTCTCTCTCTAGATTGTACTGCACTCCAGTTCCTGTCATCCTGTCCACAGTGGCTGGGAAGGATGGGAACTGGAGTCAAACAACATCCAGAAGGACACAGGTTCCCCAAATCTGAACCACTCCAAATCCCTCTTGGATGTGTGAAAACACGTATCTGGTTCTTTGAATTTTGGCCCTCATACTGTGCACTTTTTCAATTTATATTGAGACATTTTCATTCATCGACCAACCTTTGTGCCACAGAGAAGCACAAAAAATTCTCACGAGGAAGGAACATCTTTCCCATGTTAGAAAATTGCCAGCATAGCTTTTAAAATAAAATTAAAACCTCATCATTTGAACATGAAGTTCGTGTGAAATCATTGTGGAAAATACTGGAAAACACAGCACAGCACATTTCCACAGAAAGTGACCTTAGATTCCTATAAATCAGTGCCTTCTTTTCTCTGTGGAAACTAAAAAAGAGGAAGATTCGGTGATTCTTGATTTTTCTTTTCCCTTTTCTTTGTAACAGCATTGAATCAGCTCTGACTCAGGGTCAAACTACACATTACATTAAATGCATAGTGTGCAGAACCACATCAGGATCAAATCATATAGGGAAGGGGAGCTTTGATTCCAACAAAATTTACCCCACATGCAACACTTAGCCTTTGAAAAATGCCCCCTTAAGTTTAACTTGACCCTCAGGAGTGACTATTAGAAAGACACACTTGGCCACTTAACTATGGTCCTCCAGATTTTGTTGGACTCCTCTTCCCATCAGCCACAGGGTGCATGATCAATGGCCAGGAATGATGGGAGGTGTGGTCCAACAATATATAAGTGGGGCACAAGTTCCCCGTCACTGCTCTAGCCATATATATTTAACATTACTAATAGTAGGTGGCTTATAATCGGGCATGAATAATACTTTTTACATGAATTTTAAACACACACGCACCAGTTCCTGAGCAGCCTAGCTAATCGTACAATAAGATGCACATTTTAATGGCATTTGACGCCAAGATAAAAATACTTCCAAAATGACACTATACATCCTCACATTATGAAAATTGACTTCCTGACTTTGCCTTGTTTTGGTAATCCCATTCTCGTGGCGAATGGCATTTCTATGATGGATCCAGCCCAACCATTTAACAAAACAGTAGCCAAGATCAAAGAAAAGAGGAAGGAAGAAAAGAGACAACCCAGAGACATTTTGAAAAGATATTTCCAAGACCTACACCTAAAGACATGTCTGCCACAGTGTTTAAGAAACTGGAAAGCCCAAGGCAACCCAAAACAGCTTAATACAATTCGCCTGTCCTTGTCTGAATTATGTTTGGAGTCTGAAGGAGTAGGGAGAGATGATAGCAAACAAGATATTGCAACGCAGCAACTGCTAATGGTCTGAACATGGAAAATTGGAAGTCAGCCATGGACAACACAGTTACGTCAACTATTCTTCAGTGCAGGAAATAAAACACTCTCCGAAGAGACTCCAGAATATCATTGCCAGGCTGCTCTTGCCATCTCCAAATGACTTTAAGCCTCAAAGAGCCCCGCTGAAATGAAATTACAAGCTTCAAACATGTGGACCCTGCAAGGTGTGTGTTGACAGGTCCTCTTGCAACACAAAGCACACAATTCCCCATGGAAGCAGACTGGGAAATGTCAAAGCGAGAACCTACAGAACATAGCTGTGGAAAACCAATCTTAATATACTAGATATCAAATTGCAAAAAAAAGACAATTGTTTTAGGGAGCATGTGCTGCTTTTTTTTTTTTAAATAAACACATAATAGTTTTCCCAAGAGGGTGCTATTCTTTTGACTCCCCTGCTGCCCTCTCTCCTGATCCGACTCTCATGGTCTTTACTCCAGGGTAGGTCATCCTCCCCTCGTTTAGAGTTTTCTCTGCAGTTCACCATCAGTTCTCACTCGATCTCAGAGAGCAAGTCACGTGCCTGAAAAATTAAGCACAACCCCCATCTTCGCAGAGAACTCCAGCAACTCAGAAAGCTCGTCTCATAGCTTGTGTAGGAGGTGGAAAGAAAAAAGTGCTAAATATGCATTCAATCCTGTGAATGCTCTTCACACAACATGCCCTAAAAATATATGCTAATTTACTGAATAACATGCTGTACACAACTTAAAGAAAGGGTGTCTATCCAGGCCTTGGTTTATGTGCAGCCCAGCTCTTTAGGGTTACTGTACTGTGGTCACATCCACACCATACATACAAAACATATAGTTCCCCCCAAAGTATCCTGGGAGCTGTAGAGGATGTGAAGGGGGGGAGGAAGCACCATCGCTTCCCCCAGCAACAAAGGGTAGTCCAATAAAGGACTCCGGGGGGCGTTGCCCTGTCCGAAGCCTATGGAGGTGTGGGCCTAAGGCACGCCCCCGAGCGGTGACCCCGAGGGAGCTCCTATTTGACGTGCCTCAGCAGGACTCCTCGACTGGTGGTTAACCCTTCACGCAATTGGGCTGGAGCCGGCTAGTCGATAGGACCAATGCCTAAGGCCAATACCACTCATTCCAGTAATCAATAAAGTTGTGGCCTAATTCGCCCATTTAACCTTATATTCAGTGTGTCGTGTCTTTATTTCTTCTGGGGGGAGGCGGGAACTCACCACGCAATAATAATCCTTCTACTTCCATCTATTGAACGTCAGGACAAGTGTCTCACAGCTGAATCACCTTTCCAGGGACTGCCCTTTTAAAGCTGTTTGGAGTGGGGTGTGGGAGACGATCAAAATCTTCTCAAAGTCTGGAAATAATCCTTCTCTAACTCTGTAATAAATCCTTCTCGTGCTTTTTCAACTCCCTTCACCTCTTCCCCCTAAGGCAGACGTTCTGTGTATATATTAGAAGCTGATCTGATCTCTTTTAAAATTATGCCTTGAGAGCTCTGGACAATGGAAATACTGTCCACTGGGATCTAGCAGATGACCAAATAATTAAGCTATTGTGACATGTGAGTGCAAAAGCTGTTAGAGGCGGATGCATTTATCTTGCATTGTTGACTCACCTCATGAATTCATCCCGACGTGGGTTGAACAAGTATTTAATGGAAGATTGGTATAATCCTTAAATAAGTTGTGCTTTAAATGATAATGAATCAATGTTTCTTTTTTTAAAAATAATATTTATTAATTTTCAACCGTTTAAACACAACAAAACAGAAAGAAAAAAAAAGAAAGAAAAAAGAAAGAAAAAAAAGAAAAACATAAAACTAACAAAGCAAGACACAAACCATTTCAAACACAAAACAATTTCAATGTCTTATCTGTCATTCCCTTATTTCCACGACCTCCTCACACCTCCCGTTTTGTGTTCCACTTCTATTAATTATTTCAGCAATTCCTTTCCATCTTCCTCTGTTTTCTATCCTATAATTATCTTAACATATTCTAGCCTTATTTTCCCTTTAATACACTATTAATCTATTTATACTTGATTCCTTATAGCATTTCTACTAAAGCCATATAACTTCATTCCAACATTTTTCTAACATTCATTATTTTTACAGTATTTCTATAAAAAGTCTTAAACTTTTTCCAGTCTTCTTCCACCAGCTCTTCTCCCTGGTCTCAGATTTCTGCCAGTCGTTTCTGCCAATTCCATATAGTCCATCAACTTCATCTGCCATTCTTCCCGAATGGATAAATCTTGTGTCTTCCAGTACTTCACAATGAGTATTCTTGCTGCTATTGTTGCATACATGAAACAAATTCTATCCTTTAACACCAATTGGCCGACCATGCCCAGGAGAAAGGCCTCTGGTTTCTTCAAAAGGGTATATTTAAATACCTTTTTCATTTCGTTATGAATCATCTCCCAGAGTGTCTTAATCCTTGGGCATGTCCACCAAAGGTGAACTCTAATCCTCAAATTCGTCTGTTTTTCTTTAAGTTCAGTCATAGCAAGCGTCAACTTATGTTCATCAAATTGCCTCTGTAGGGCTGGGGCTCTCTTTCTCTTTCTCTCCAGTTGTGTTACTTTGCCTTCAGCAGCAACAGCTTTTCCCTGACTTCCTCCACAGTTTGCCATATCAAAATAGGTTCTTGTATCAATTTCTGGGTGGTTTCTGTATTGGTATTATTTATACTTTCTGTATTTAAGTTAATTTTAGTAATTGAAACATCCACTTTCGCATTTATCGTGTCCATTTTCCTGTGAAGCTGATCCAATGAGTCGTTTATCTTATATAATGCAGCCACTAAAGCCTCTTCTGTCGACATTCCTCTTGGTTTTAAATATACTAGTACAAAGACAGCAACAGAAAGAACAGGAGGGCCTAATGATAGACCTCTCCTGGATTGTTACCAAGTCCTCCCAGACCTTAATGTTTTATCAGCAGTTGACTGGTCTGTTTTTCCTCTTCCATTTACCATAACACTTAAAAGATTCAAGGTCAGTCCCAGAGTCTCACGGTTTTTAACTTGCAGCTGGAAATTCCCCTAGTCCAGCTCTTGTAAAGCAACCAGTTTCAAAGGCTTCCACTAGGGGGAAACAGTTTCTATTTGTAATAGTCAATAGTATCCTCTTTTAAACAATCCAAAATTAGTTTCAAGTTAGTTTCAATTTTCAGTTACTTTTACTCCTTTTTAAAGCAGCCGGAGACAGTAGAAACAATGTATTTCTCTTATTTAACTAGCTGTCAATGAACATTCCAAAAGACATCAGTCCTACTAGCAGCCCATTTCCAGGGTCAGAGTGGCGGTATTTTAAGTCTCTTCGCTCTCTCCCGCAGGCATACTCAATCCACAACTTCCCCCTCTCTTCTCCTGCCTCCAAGAGGGGGTTTAATGTTCTTTACCATTGGAAATTTGATCTTTTACAAAAGACCTTCCAGGACTCCAGCTTGCAACTTCATTGCCTCAGTCTATTTACAAAAGGGGGAGGCGGACTTCCTGTTTTGAACCTCCCCGTTACGGTACCAAATTAAACATTTAGAAATCCAATTCTTCCACTTCAGTTCTACTCACGGGTAATTACTTTAAAGTCAAATTGTCCACAGGAAAAGGTCAGCGCTCTCCGGCAACAGCTATGCGGCTTCGTTCCGTGGAAGAAGCAGACGATTCGATGCACAGCGCCGCTCACCCCATGTCGCTCCGGAGCCCCAAAAACCGGGGTTCCCCGCGAGTGGGGGAGGCGCAAAAGGTGCCCGCCGAATCCCACGTTCACAGGCTTCTCCTGCCTGTGATTTTAACGGGTCTCCGCCTTAGCCATGGCGGCCAGACCCAGATTCCCACGGAGCAGATTCCTCCCGGTCAGAGGAATTCCGCCATTACTGGAGGCGCCTCCCCGGAAGTCCCCGATAATGAATCAATGTTTCGAGGGGGAATCAGTTGCATTTAAGATTGATTTTATCAGTGATGGGACTAAAGCAACATACCTTCTCTACCTTTCCTGACTCCCCAGTTTGTACTTTTCTTGTGTACATATAGATGTTGGAGGTAATATACAGATATATTGTATCTAAGCACATAATTATTCAAACACCCCCGCAAGGCTGAGCAGTATTACAATTCTCATATTGCTGACGAGGGGGTGGGAGGAATGAGACAATAATGATTTGAAGCCATCTTGCCATTTCAGAACAGGAGCAAGCCCTGAGTGGGAACTTCCCAGACTACAGCTCTGTCTCTCAAACATTGTTTGTGTCTACAAAGTGCCCTCATGACTACTGTATTAACCTAATTCTTTGCATTTTTTATTTTTTCTTCTGCTTGCACATTCCACACTTTATGTTAATATCTTGCTCGATGAAGATCTCTGGAGAACTCAGTAGTTTGCCATACTTTTATGACAGAACTTTGCAAAGGTTCTGCACCCTTTCCAGCAACAACATCCAGAAACAACCCACCCACCAACTTGTGGGATGCAGCTGTTAGATGTTGAAAAGAACTCTGATTTCCAAGTTGCCAATAGTTTGGAATGTTGCTGTTCAGTATCTTCATATTGTAAGGTAAACACAATTTTCAGCCCAATTTTCTTTATTAGCACGTCAGCTTGTTTAAGGATTTGGCTTAAACCCCACAACCTTCAGAATGGCTCACAATAGCAGAATCTAAATACAATAAATCACAGCCAAAAACAACAACAACAAAATAGCCAGGATAAGATCAGATCAGAAGAGCCAAAAATGATATAGTAGCACAATTAATTTAGCTGTCCCAAAACCTGCCTCAAAAGGGCTAATTTTGATCAATAGCCATGCAAACTTCTTTGCTGAAGACATACTGGAAAGTTGGGGAGAAATCCACGTTTTCTAAGTAGAGGGAATTTTTTTAAATGTTCCCTTTTCCTTTTAATTGGGGAAGCCCATCCTACACGGGAGAGCCCCAGTGAAGGTTGACCACAAGAGTGAGGCCAAAATGAGGGAGCAATTCACAAACACACACTGTTGTCTTCCTATTTCTTTGCTGTACCAACATGAGTATGTTTTCTGAGAGCCATGCAGATAGAATGAATAAAAACAGCCTTCCTGATTCCAACATAATTACAAGTATTACTTGTGTGAAAGATGCACAAGTAATAAAAAATACAGAGAGAGGCTTTCTTCTTAACCACGATCCATCAGGTTCCCTAGTGGTTTGTAGCTTGTTCATTGTAAATGTTGGAAAATGGCATTAGAAAAGAGCTTAAACCAAATGCACAGTAAAACACAGTTTCCTTTATCAATAATAATAATAAAGTGGAGAAGAATTGCAAAAAAGGCCACTACAATATCTCTGGAGAGAAGTTACTTACAACAAGGCTTTTATAGAAGACAAGAAACTGAAAATGGAGTTTAACATTCTCAGAGCAGCTTAACAATCCATCTCTCTTCCCAGTGAAGTCTGAGCCCTGTGGCTCTGTGAGAGGAACAGGGAGTCTCCTAACTACTTTCAGCACCCTTAACAACTAGGATTGTTTGGCAAAAGCCATGGTTGTTTACAGTGGTACAGTCCTGCTTTAAATGCCTCGTGGGTCATCTTCAGGAGAAGAAAGCCACTTTCGCCCTACAGAGGAAGTGGGTTTGTGGGCTTCACGGCCCCACCATGCGCGTGGTGGCTGGAGCCCAGCCCCGTGCGATTGGGAGATTCCCGGCCGTGTCACACCCTGGCCAGCCAATTGGCTGGCTCTGGGGGCTTGGCCTGCCCTATTTAAGGCAGGACGCGGCCAGCAGTAAACCCTACACAAATCCAGAGTAAAGACGCTAAGACCGTTGGAAAGCGCCTTGTACGCCTCTCTCTGCCAAGCTGCTGTCAAAAGTATTGCTCTGCTTTCCTTTGAACCACATCAGCAAGGCTGAGAAAAGCGTCTTGTGGTCTGGGCAGTCCAGGACCTCCATACACACTGCCACAGCTTGCACCCCTGGGGTGGCCACTTTGGTACTGTTAACTCAGCAAAAACAATGAGAGAGGCTGCCATCACGAGTTATCAGTCTTTGCAGCCACAGCAGGCTCTGCGATTCCCCAGCAGTTTGACTTTGGCCCCAGAGGCACACTCCATTGTCTCTCAAGACAAACAGATGCCAACAACAACAACAACCAATGTATAGTGCTTATGGGGTCTAAGACTGGGAACGCTTTGTTTTAAATCCACACTCAGAAACGACACTCACCTCCGAGTGTGGGTTAGCCAGTCGCTATATTGGTCTCACAGAGACCAATGTGAAGATAAAACTAGGGCAGAGGGACAGAGAAGGCGTGTGTGTTGCCTTGATCTGCTTTAAGGGTGAGATATAAAAGCGTGAAATATTAAACAAACATGTGGTTGGCTGTCATAGCGCTGCACATTGTGCTGACTTAGAGTATATTGTGGGGTGAGGTAATGCTTAACACAGTTCTTTGAAGTGAGGGGCAGGGCAACACATAATAGAATGGCATCCCATCATATGTCCAGCAGTTACCTGGATGTAACAACAAAAACAGGTAGTAAAAAATGGGACGGGGTTTGCGCTTAAGTTGTAGATAATCTTAAAACAAGGCTGTGGACTCCAAATCCTATCAACCCCAGCCAGTGTTGTCAGTGGTCAAGTATTATGGGATCGGTAGCCCAATGACATCTGGAGGGCCACAGGTTCTCCCACTTCTGCACTTAAAAGGTGTAAAAGTAAAAGGACGTGGGTGGCGCTGTAGGGACGCGGGTGGCGCTGTGGGTAAAACCTCAGTGCCTAGGACTTTCCGATCGTATGGTCGGCGGTTCGAATCCCCGCGGCGGGGTGAGCTCCCGTCTATCGGTCCCAGCTCCTGCCCACCTAGCAGTTCGAAAGCACCCTTAAGTGCAAGTAGATAAATAGGTGCCGCTTTATAGCGGGAAGGTAAACGGCGTTTCCGTGTGCTGCGCTGGTGCTGGCTCACCAGTGCAGCTTCGTCACGCTGGCCACGTGACCCGGAAGTGTCTCTGGACAGCGCTGGCCCTCGGCCTCTTAAATGAGATGGGCGCACAACCCTAGAGTCGGACACGACTGGCCCGTACGGGCAGGGGTACCTTTACCTTTACCTTAAAAGTACCACAGAAAAATATCAGCATTAAATCCATCCCTCTCAACTTTATAGTACATAAACTAACCTGTTTGGCCAACTGGTCCTTCTTGACAAAGCCAGTGGCAGCGGCGATATTTCCGGCACCTTCCACTGTCTTTTGTGCCACGGCTGTGACACCAGTCACTACAGCTCCTCCCACGTTTGACACTCCCTCTTTAGTTTTCTCTGCCACTGTGGAAAAGGCAAAAGGTTTTGGTTTTGAGGTAAACTTGGCCTGCTCACAGCTCTCGACATCATGTGAAAGCAAGTTGGCTCTGCGTGAGTCTCCCTTCAGGAAGGTTTCTTCACAAGACTTCATGGCATGTGGGACTCTCCCCCAGCACCACACGCCACTAGTCCAGGCCTGCTAGCCTGAACACAACCTTTCCTTGGGTTGCATAATCAGTGATGGAGCATGTAACTTTGCATGTGGAACCTCTAGGGATAGGAGAGCCCATCAATTTTGGGTTTCTCTTGGTTTCTCCTTTTTCCAGGTTTACACTTCATCACTTTTCCAAACAGGTTTGGGATTTATGTTAGACTTAGCAGGCGCTTGGGGGGCAGAAAAAGGAAGAAAATGTTCCTTTGCAATAGGAGAAATCCTTGCAATGAAGGAGCATTTCGCTTAGTGCTCCACTGAATACAACCGTATTTCTTTTAAATAACTGCTGGGGGAAGGGGAAATCCATGAGCAAATATGTTATGCATGTTATATTTTAGCCTTCTGTGGATGGCAAAGATTTGCAATCCTCCTATCGTTGTCCCGGGACTTTGTGCTTTGCGGGGCAGGAGAAGGGAGAGTAGACAAGATCAGCTACCAGCCCACTTAACATTTCCCCATGCATGGAGCTGGGCACTAAAGGGGGTGGGCAGGGAAGAATGCAGGATTTCTTTTTATGTCCACCTGAAAATTCACCAGCATTTTAGTGCAAATTTCTCCTAAGAAACGCATATGCAACTTTGCCTAATATACACAATTTTGCAGAGCAATTTTTCTCTACATTCTTTGCATCTTATTTTCACTAAAATGTGCATTTTTAGATATGCTTTATCCTAGCATGTGCATTTTTAATATACATTACTGAGCATTGCAAAATGCAGAGAAGTGTGAATTGTTGTGTTTCAGTTCATGTATTGTTTTGGCAAGTGCCCGTTAGGTAGGCTCGCCTTTAAATATGAACTGAATTGTATTTCTTCCTCATTGCAATAGGCCAGGGAGATTGTTCCAGGGGAAACCCAGCCATTGACAGAGAAAAGGTTCTCTGCTTGTGCTAAAGTTATAGCTGCGGGCACATTTGTTGTGTGCTTTCCAGCATGCTTGATTTTATCCCACACCTACTTGCCTCCATGAATCAGAGCCTACTCAGAAATAAAGGTTTCTTGAAGGGATAGGTGGGAGGTTTAGCATGGATTTAGAAACAGAGATGCAGTGATGGGCTTACCTGTTGTAACCCCATGAACAACTCCGTCCCTGGTCTTCGAACCTGTTTTTAAAAATATATATTAAAAAGGAGAAGAATTAATAAGCAGCGGGGCTCAGTAAAACAGTTTTTAGTAAACACACAGGCAGAGAGTCACAGTATTTCATATGCACCCCACTTCCCCAAGGAATAGCAAGCTCGGAGGGCAACTTTTTTTACAGAGCCAGTTTTCTTGTGAAAACTTGTAATAGTTTTCTGTATTTGTTGAGCCAAAGATAATAGAATCATAGAGTTGGAAGGGACTGTGAGGGTCATTTAGTCCAACCCCCTGCAAAGCAGGAATCTTTTTGCCTAATGTGGGGCTCGGACCCACAACCCTGAAATTTAAGAGTCTCATACTCTACTGACTGAGCTAGGTGGATGCATGGTGGTTTGTATCCACATTTACTTGGGAGTGGACACGGAGCAATGGATCCAAACTACAAGAAAGAAGATTCCACCTAAACATTAGGAAGAACTTCCTGACAGTAAGAGCTGTTCGACAGTGGAATTTGCTGCCAAGGAGTGTGGTGGAGTCTCCTTCTTTGGAGGTCTTTAAGCAGAGGCTTGACAACCATATGTCAGGAGTGTTTCCTGCTTGGCAGGGGGTTGGACTCGATGGCCCTTGTGGTCTCTTCCAACTCTATGATTCTATGATTCTAAGTCCTATTTGACTCAATGAGACAGACTTCTAAGTCAAAATGTATTGGACTGCATTGCCGCTCCCCCCAAAGCCCAACAGCAACCCCCCACAATCCACCCACAGAGACTGCTTCTTCTGTTTGCATGTAAACAAAGCAAGTCCCTCAAAACCAATTTCAACAAAACTGGAAAACTGTTTTCTATGGTTCTCACTCAGACCAGAAGGGTGCGGCCTGCACTCCATGCTGACATTAACAAACCAATGAACAACAACCATAGTAACTGGTGGCCAATCACTAAACAGGAAGACATATGTGCTCTGCCCTGCCCCAAATGGTGAGAAGTTCCAGCTCATGCCATCCTTTGGAGGAAAGAGAGTACTTCGCACACACCTTGCATCAGCTTCCCCCCTTACTGTTTGCTTTGGAGATCACCCTCTCAAAGCTCTGATGGCCAACACTCAAGAGAAATCTCTATACAGTATATGTATCAAGCATTCAGCTCCCATTGAGAAAACACCAACCACTCACAAATGAGCCATTAAACAAGCCATCTTCCTAGAAAAGGAATGGCTGATGGCCAGATATATCAGTTTCATGCAACTGTAATGATAATATAAAGTTAGGTTGCTTTCAGATGCGGGGGGGCTTAAGATTGCAAGTAGGTCTTTCAGATGTCAGAAAGAGGTTGGCAACAGGATCGTGGTTGTTGTTTTTAACTGACTTCATTTGCAACAGAAAGGGTAATTGGGTTAAATTGGGGAAGGAGGGAATGGAAGCTGGCATTTTGATGCCAACAACATCATGCGCATGCTGTGAAAAACCTGTATGCATGAGCTCCACTGCCCCCACAACACCTGTCTGGAAGCATCCTTAGAACTTAGTTTCATACTCAGGATGCTATCAATACCTGAAGTCTGCTTATAGCGCTATAAAGTAGGGCTGTTTGCAGTTCTGTGATCTGGAAAAGACTGGGAGAGTGTGGGCTAGCAAGAGAGAAGGGAACATGGTGTTTCATGCCCTGAGCTATCATTTTGCACAAAGAGGATAACTTCCGTTTTGCAGATTCAAGACTCACTCTACCTTGGCAGGTGGGAGGGGAAGGCCTATACAACACCATTAACATACAAAGCTGCCTTATACCAGATCTGACCATTGAGCCCATTGAGCCCAGTCTAGTCTACTTTGACTGGCAGCAGTTCTCCAAATCTCAAACTGATATCTTTCTTATCATCTGTCTGATTGTTTCAACCAGAGATGCCAGGGATTGAAACTGGGATTTTATGTATGTGAAACACATCTGTCACCTGCTAGCCTGGATAGTTCAGTTGGTTAGAGTGTTGTGCTGTTAATGCCACCGTTGCAGGTTTGACCCCCCCAAGGGACAGCAGCATATTCCTGGATTGTAGGGGGTTGAATGAGATGATCCTCAGGGTCCTTTCCACCTCTACAATTCTATAATTCTGTGGTCCTTCCTTCTCTGTCTAATATATGTAGTGACTGCAGGGTAGAGCCATATGTTTACCACTTTCTGCAGACACCACGGTGCCAAGAATGAAAACATCAAAATGATTCTAGTATCTAAAAAATGTAGGAAAAAAGCAATATGTGAATCAGCCATGAGAGATGCAGTTACTGTTCCAGGTACGAAATCCTGGCAGAGCAATCTTTTGCAATCCATAAGACTGGCAGAGGTATGCCATGTATCATTTCTATACCTTTCAAGTGAGAACATAGTAGTGTATGGGTAAAATAATCTGACAAATTGTTTTCTAAAAGGCATCCATATAAGATTTTACTACAGCTGGGCTGAAGGGGCAGACATCGGCTATGTTTGCACATCATGGTAGGCCATAAACGATGGCTTGCTGTGGACAAGCAAATCACAACCACTTCATTGCCCCCGCTTCACACTGCGAGAAAACAATCCATAATTCCTGGTTTATGGTTAGGGATGTTATGGAAATTCCAATAAAAGTGAGTAAGGAAGTGGTAATTGCTGCAGGTGGTGTGTTCATCTTGTTCCGGAATGGATATCAGTTAAGCGAATGCGATCAGTATTCAATCATATTGTTGTTGGTTTTAAATCTGCAAATGTTATGTAGTTAATGACTTGTTTAAAAAGGTAAAGGGACCCCTGACCATTAGGTCCAGTCGTGACCGACTCTGGGGTTGCGGCGCTCCTCTCGCTTTATTGGTCGAGGGAGCCGGCGTACAGCTTCCAGGTCATGTGGCCAGCATGACTAACCCGCTTCTGGCGAACCAGAGCAGCGCACGGAAACACCGTTTACCTTCCCGCCAGAGCGGTACCTATTTATCTACTTGCACTTTGATGTGCTTTCAAACTGCTAGGTTGGCAGGAGCAGGGACCGAACAACGAGAGCTCAGCCCGTCGCGGGGATTCGAACCGCCGACCTTCTGATCGGAAAGTCCTAGGTTTAACCCACAGCGCCACCCGCGTCCCTTATGATTTGTTTAGATGTGTCCTTTGCAATGAAATGAACGTAAGTCATGTAACTTAAGAGAAATAGTGAACAGCAAGAAGAACAATGTAGCATTTGGTACAGTGGTCAGGTTGCTGCACTGAACCGGGGACCCGAGGGTTCAAATCACTGGCTGATATTTTTGACCTTTGCGTACCTCGCAGGGTTGTCCTGAGTATGAAGCACAGAAAAGAACCATGTCTGTCACCTTGTTCTCCTTGGAGGCAAAGTGGTCTAGAAACATCATAAATAAACAAAATATTTTTGCTGCCTACAAAGTCAAGGCATCCTGAGGCAAAGTGACGGGGAACTTCTTGAGTCAGTGGGCCAAGGTGGGCTTACCTGGGTGAAGTGGGCTAGAGTAGCCAGTTCTGCATCACAAAGAAGAAAAGAAAGAGGACACAGGCCAGCACATCATGTGCATATGCTAAATTTATATAGATGCAAATTTAGCAGCGATTGCTGTTATTTAAACTGGATCGCAGCACCTCTCACACTGACACCATCTGCTATTCAGGTGCTAGCTGCTGATCGGCAGCTTCCAGGCTCCTGCTCTTCCTTCTCAAGGTTCTAAATCTTTAACCCAGATTTGGACCAGATAGCCTTTCAAACAGAGGTCTCCTTCAAATGGAGGACTGCTTTCTGATAACCCTTCCAAACAGGGGATTGTTTGGGGCACACGGCTATCCTAGTGGTGGCTCTGCTCTCTAGACAGCAGTCTGCAGCTGGGTCTAGTCTGCCTTTCAATTTCCCACTGTAATAAGAATTTTAAGGTCTTAGATATATATTAAATGTTCATAAATGTACCAACCAAGCATGTACATAGATCAGCACAGGAAGACCGACCTGAAACCATTTATTATTCCCAGACTGACCAAATGTTTTCTGTGCAAGGTCAAAGGAAAATGGAAAAGCCTCCCCATTGTCTTTTCCTTCACAAATCCTGTCTTAAGGGTATGTCTGTCTGTGTCTATATGGGGTGAGCCTGTGACCTGGCTCAGGAGCTAAGTATTTATCATTACAAAAGACTGGCCAGGCTTCCCAGGGTATCCAATCAAGTGAGCATTAACAGGTAACCTGTCAGACGAGATAAACAACGCACTCAGATTTCTGCTGTAGACTGTCCTTTCTGCGATGTAGGTATGATGATGTAGGTATGATGTATGGAGAGGTGGTCTTGAGCTCCAGGGCAGGGCAATTTAAAATGTCTATATAAGGGCGGACACACCTTTGTTCTGGGTTCCTCCTCCTTTCCTGCGCGTGAGGGGAGCACCCTGTTGCAACAGATCAATAAAGATCAGGCTTACTAGCTGCTTTGCTTCTCAATATTCTCTGGTTGGCCTCTGTTATTTTCTCCTACCAATAGGGAACCTACGTAAGGACTCTATATGGGCTCTTGGATACCCCATAAGGGGAAAAGGGCACATTTTGTTTACAACATGTGCCAGAGAAAATCTAGGTAAGGAGGTTTGCAGGGAATTGAATGATTGCCTAGACCCAGCCATCTGGTGCTAGTCCAAGTTCTGGGCCTGGAAAAAAAACACAAGGGGAGGGCAGGTGGGTAACCTGGCAAGACACTGGGACTCCAACATCTGCCCCAGGGTGATGATCCCAGCCGCATCCAAAGAATAGGAGCACTCATTCTTTCTTTCCCACACACTCCCACTGATTTGCCTGACATATTTTCCTCTCTCTTACAAGTTGAAGAAGAAATAAAGGAATTTCTTTGTCCTTTGCTCTGATGGTTGGCCATTTCCCCAATTTGCAAGCAGGGGGTCGATCTCCTACAGACAGTCTGGCATCTTTACTAAGCAGGATACCTTACGGTTCCATAGCAAGCATGAAGTCATCTCACGTGACAAAGGCAGAGCAGCCTTGCCTTTATTAAATAATCTGGTTTTTGATTTCCATATTTCCCTCCTGGTTACCAAGGGATATTTTTCAGAGCTGGTCATAGAATTGTAAGATGATCCTAGGTATACTGTTACAGACTGAGGAGCGGGGACTGCCTTAAACCCTAGAAATTAATAAATGGCAGGATTTTGATTATTTTGGGGTGTTGAGGGGAAAATTGGAGGCCAGTGGAAAAGTGTAGGCTAAGCCAGGGCCTCACCTGGGACAAAGGCATTAATATGACAAAAGGTGTTGATGGCCCATATAGGAGGAATCTTGGGATCTAGATCTATAGGAGAGTCTTTAGATCAAGGTGTGCGGGGAAGGAGAAGAAGGTGAGAACAAAGGGGGAGATAGATCTTGGCAGGCTGGCTTGCACTCCAGTGCTGCACTGCTGTGGGGAACAAGCCTCTCTTGAAGGGGTAAATATGTGAATAAGACCTAGTTCTTAAAGCTACAACCATATTTGCTGTGTCTTCAATTCTCCAAATCCTGGGTGAGAGCCCGGAAGTCCCTGGCCTCTTGCCAGCGCTTGGCAGAAAGTGTGGGTGGCACCCAACTTCTGTAACAATACAGTACAGAAGGTCTCATGGTTTCAGGCTGAGAGACCAGCAGGACCAGCTGGCAAGCCTGTGTGGGACACAGGTCATGAACCCCTGATGTTGCTGGACTACAGATCCCATCATCCCTGACCATTGACTATGCTAGTGTGGGACGATAGAGTAGGTAGAGTACAAAAACATCCAGAAAGTACCACATTGGATACCCTAGTTGGAGATGCTGTTATTTTCTTTTGTGCGGTTTCACACAGTCACCTTGGAGTGTGACTCCCCACAGTTGTGCTGCTCCTATAGAAACACAGGTTGTAGAGTTGGATAGAGTTGGATAGGACCCAAAGGGTCATCTCGTTCTTCCCCCGCAATGCAGGACCCACAACTGTTGTGAGGTTTCAAAACACATGCATATGAAGAAAGCGCCAGTCTGGAATACCCACTACAGCACAAATAAAATCAAATCACCTTCAAAAATAGGTGCTAAAACCCAATATACATATCAGGGATTAAAAACAAGACCCTTAAGATGGGCACCTGCAAAGGTGGGACTACAAAGTCTACTCATATCAACATCAACATGTTCCTCCCTCAGACACAAGAACCCCACAAAGTTGATGTGTGAATCATTCCTGATTTGATTCTGAAACTTTTTGTATAATGACATGACCATGTGCACATCATCACGCTCTACTTCTGCAATCATATACCTGTCTATTCATATGTAAGCCCCACTGTAGTAGATAGGACTTACCGCCTTCCCGCTGCCCCCCAAGCTTGTAGGGCTGGCGGTGGGGGGAAGTCTCCAGCCTCAAAGATCCAGCCTCAAAGATCCAAAGAGTTCCTGCTGCGTTCCGGAGGCTTCGGGTTCCTTTTGCTGAAGCCGGGAGAGCAAGGTTTCAGGCGGCTATCCCTGAAGCCAACCCCTCTCGCTATCCAGGCTTCAGCGAAAGCAACGCAAAGCCTCCGGAGCACGGAGGGAGCGCTCCCTCTGCACTTCGGAGGCTCTGCGTTGCTATCGCTGAAGCCGAGGAGCCTGCATTCGCTCCACAGGACGCACACACATTTCCCCTTCATTTTTGGAGGGGAAAATGTGCATCCCATAGAGCGAAAAATACGGTAATCCCAGGTAAGTGCAAATATAGAATTGCAACCTTTGTCACAACTAATCCCTCCCATCTTTCTATTAAATGGCTTGCAATGAACTGGAATGATTAAAATTATAATTAATGGGAAAACATCAATTACCAAAAAGTGACTATTAATGAATGTTAAGAAAATTAATCAAATAAATAAAAACGAGACCCTGCTGGGCACTTTGAAGTCAGTTGGATGATTAACGTGTTTAAAAATTATGCCATGCGGTTAAATGATCTGCTCTACACTCTGCTGCACTGATTCCAACAAAACTTCCAAGCTTATCTATATGAAAGAGCCAACAAAATGATAAGTGCTATAGCTATGGTACCCAAGAAGGAAAAACACAGTAAGTTCCCTTCTTATTTCTAAAAACATTGTATGCAATAAAGAGTAGACCGACTGAAATTAATGAACATGACTAAGGTCCATTAATTTCAAAACATCTAGACTGAGTAGCAGTACCAGCATAGTTACTGAGTCTCTGGCCACATTCACACCATACATTTAAAGCACTGTAATATGCGGGTGGCGCTGTGGGTTAAACCGCAGAGTCTAGGACTTGCCAATCAGAAGGTTGGCAGTTCGAATCCCCGCGACGGGGTGAGCTCCCGTTGCTCGGTCCCTGCTCCTGCCAACCTAGCAGTTCGAAAGCACGTCAAAGTGCAAGTAGATAAATAGGTACTGCTCTGGTGGTAAACAGCGTTTCCGTGTGCTGCTCTGGTTCACCAGAAGCGGCTTAGTCGTGCTGGCTACATGACCTGGAAGCTGTACACTGGCTCTCTCGGCCAATAAAGCGAGATGAGCGCCGCAACCCCAGAGTCGGCCACGACTGGACCTAATGGTCAGGGGTCCCTTTACCTTTACCTTAATACCACTTCAAACAGTCATGGCTTCCGCCAAATAATTCTGGGAGCTGTAGTTTGTTAAAGGTGTTGAGAGTTGTTAGGAGGCCCCCTATTCCTCTCACAGAGCTACAATTCCGAGAGTTTCTTGTAAAAAGGGAATGCCATTTGTTAAACCATTTTTGTATTTGTACAAAATGTTAGCATTGTCATTCTCCAGGATTCAACCGCCCTCTCAGAGACTCTTAAGTGAAGTTACATCTCTGAAGGAGGAATGGGTGCACCCTTGTCTTTTGCACATATATCCATGTAAATCAGGGGTGGGGAGCCCCAGGCCCGGGGGTGAAATGTAGCTTGACCCTTGTAAACTATTCCCAGGCTGCCCCTTTCACTGGTCCTGCTCCACACCTTGAGTGTTTTTTGGCTGGACCATGTCCTTGAATTCTGATCATGTTTCTTCCTTGTCTAGATGGAGGGTAGAGAGGTGCGAGAGTGTGTCCAGAAACTAGCTTACTGTTCAAAGGTAAAATTTATATTTGCATATTCTCCAACACCCTGAAGGCAAATATTGGGATGCCACCTTCTTGGAAGCCATCTTCCTGGATTTTTCCCCGAGAGAGAGAGAACCTTGGCCGTTTTGGGCGCCATGATCTTGCATGATATCATGTTGCGATTGCCGCATGAAAACAGTGCTTTATTCAGGCACTGTGCCCCAAAACACGCATTTTTGGGGCACCACACAAGTTCGCAACCCTGAAAAAGCACTTTTTTGGGGGGAGGGGGAATTGTGACACGAAATCAAGTGAGGTAATGATGCCCCCAATGCCAGCCACTTTCTTGTGAGAAAAAAAGGGGTTGACATGGTTTTTGACATGGTTTTTTTTTTGGGGGGGGGGGAGATGCGCTTGTGGTTCTGCTAATTTTTGCCTCTGGCCCTGCCTACCAATGGTATGTGGCCCTCAGAAGATTGGCTGGAAACGAATGTGGCCCTCAGGCCAAATAAATGTTCCCCAATCCCAATGTAAACGAATGTACATGAACACCAAGGCATTGTTTTACATGCTACAGTTGCTGAGGTAGGTTGAAATGGCTAATGAGTCTATGGAAACTTAGCTTTTCAAGTAGATTATTTGGGCCTATTACCCTCTTGGCTTTTAAACTAGTGGAGGGCAGGCTATTGCAAAGCAAAGCAATGGCTTGGCTGGCCCTGCCATTAGGCAGAGAGAAGCAGCTGCCTTAGACAGCAGTTACAGGTGGCAAGGAGTGAGAGTTAAGTGTTGGAGGACAGAGCTGCATGCTGCATGACCTGCTCTACCATCACCTAAACTCACCTTCTCTGGTGTGGTGGAAGATGCTGGCCCATCAACAGTGGATGATCCAGCTGCTCATCTAACCAGCTTCTATTACACATTGGTAAGGATGGGGGGCTGAGATGTGGGTGGCACTGTGGGTTAAGCCACAGAGCCTAGGACTTGCTGATCAGAAGGTCGGCAGTTCGAATCCCCGCAACGGGGTGAGCTCCCATTGCTCGGTCCCTGCTCCTGCCCACCTAGCAGTTCGAAAGCACGTCAAAGTGCAAGTAGATAAATAGGTACCACTCCAGCGGGAAGGTAAAAAGTGTTTCTGTGAGCTGCTCTGGTTCGCCAGAAAAAGCTTAGTCATGCTGGCCACATGACCCGGAAGCTGTACCCTGGCTCCCTCAGCCAATAAAGTGAGATGAGCGCCGCAACCCCAGAGTCGGCCACGACTGGACCTAATGGTCAGGGGTCCCTTTACCTTTAAGGATGGGGGGCAGCAATGATGGAGGGGGTTAGGCTTGTGCAGCGATTCTCAGGACAAGAATTGGAGAGTCATCAGAGGCTCATTCCTATTTTAACCTGTGATATGCTGGAAGATAAGAGTGAGAACTTTGTAGGAGGAGGAGAGCAAGCTCCTGTTTAGAGGGTCTGGGATAGCTGTGAAATAAATTAACAAGGTTTTATTTGCTGGGGTGGGGAGAGCTACACTCAAATTCCATTGCTTTTTATCATCTATCTATCAATAATATCTTGAGTAAAAAGCTGGAATGCTGCTTATTCAAAGAAAGAAAACAGTTTATACCAAGACAAAAAAAACCCCCAATATATTATTGTAATAATCTGTGGGAGAAACACCCATGTAGCTCTTTTTTTTTTTACAGTGAAAGCATGCATTGCTCTTTAACAGGCAACTGGAGGTATGCTCTAGGACGGCCCTGAACCATGAATTCCTACTTGGTAGTAGGGAAGACCAAGCACTTCCCCTCAAGGCAAATCAATTATGAAGCTCTCCAGCTCTTTTCAGCCGCTTGCACACCAGATGGCGAGGGGAGGTTGGGGGAGATGGCATAATAAAACTCAGAGAAAATGCATGTTCTCAACCAAATCTTCTGTGGAAAAGCTGCTTCACGCTAGCTATGAATCATGCAATCACACATAGGTTTTGTTTTTTTGGGGGGAGGGGGGAATCAACAGGCCCTGCACTGATCACAACCCAATCTAGATCGTTCCTAAACTGTATTATCAAGGAGGAATCTGATATGCATCCAGTTCTGCCGTGCTCTTGCATCCCAAGAGAGCACGATCCAGAAAATGAAGGAAGCCAGGGTGCAGCAATGCAGAGAGTGTCCGGGTTGCTTCTGAGTGCCTTCTGCTGTGTTCTGTTGACCAGCGTCAATGAGCTCTAAGCAAGAGATGTGGTCTAGGAGGAGAGATGGTTGAATGGGATCAAGCTTCCCTATACCTAGAGGTAGGGGCAGATGCTGCCAATTCTCCATCTTTACTTTTCATATACAGTGGTACCTCAGGTTACAGACGCTTCAGGTTACAGACTCCGCTAACCCAGAAATAGTGCTTCAGTTTAAGAACTTTGCTTCAGGATGAGAACAGAAATCATGCTCTGGCGGCGCGGCGGCAGCGGGAGGCCCTATTAGCTAAAGTGGTACCTCAGGTTAAGAACAGTTTCAGGTTAAGAACAGACCTCCAGAACGAATTAAGTTCTTAACCCGAGGTACCACTGTATAGTTATGGTCTGAAGACATGAGACCATCACCTTATGAATACTAAGCAAGTCTGGGTCTGGCCAGGGCCTGGATGTGTGACTGCTGGGGAGAAGCATATGTACACCGCCATATGTACTTTCTTCACGACGAAAGAAATTTTAGGAAAGGCAAGATACACAGTTTAAAATGAGTACTCCTGGGGGAGGGGGCGGAGAATCAAGAACAGGAACAGAACCTAGCTACTGAGTTGTTTTAGAGGCCAACACTATTTGTGATGATTCAGAAGCAAACTGGACTGGTAGTTGAATCTGTTAGCAAAGTCAATTCAGGAGTGCAGATGGAGAAATAAGCAGGTGTTTTGTCTTCCTTCCTTCAGACCTTATACATAGCAAGGAGACATTTGACCAAACATACAGAAGAAAAACTTCCTCAGAACTACACAGCCAATCAGAGCATGTGCTACTTCATCAAACATCATGAAACTCTGACAGGTTGCTAAGCAACATCTCTTCCCTCCCCAGCATGGTTAGTTGACTTCCTGATTAAAGAATTAACCCATTGCAAACTGAAGATCCCTGCTCTAGCATTTCCAGCAGTATCACTACCCCAGTAGTGATGAACAGAATTTTCTGTTGTCTTCTGCATTCAAAAAATGGGCTCTACCACTGAATGATAGTCCCTCTTTAATAAATATCTCCAACCTGGGCACTGAACTGCAATACTTTACTTGGAGGATTTTGCCGACTCTTACTTTTTACAGTACTCAGATTTTAATGCTTAGAAAGCAAGGCTTAGGTCTGTCTCTTTCAACTTTATGAATCACCCACATGTTCAAAACAAGTTTGGCGCTGCCACTATCGATGAGTAAGAACACCAAGTCGCTCAGGTACAGGAGAGGCAGAAATTGGGGAGCCTGTTCCTAAGTTGTCACCCTTTCCCCTTCTTAGTCCTTCTCATTTTCTCCCTGCAGGTTCCCCACTTTTAAGATATGGGATGCTCAGGAAGGCCAGGCAGTGTAGAAGGTTTGCTGTTCTGTATTTTAGTATTAGCAAAAAACCCACAATTTTTCCTAAACATTTTTTTTTTTTAAGTAGGAAGCACTTTATCTAGCACCACTGCAACCAAATTCACATGAAGTACTACAAGATGGTCTCGAAAAAACGGTGGAAGGGATCTGGATAAGCATATAGTAGTGAGTTCATGAGTCATTATCTGCTAAGTGTCCATGACAATGAATGCAGACACCTTCTCCAGAGGAGCATGTGGGTAATAGTCATGCCTGCCGGGGTGAAAAATGGCTGGTGCTCAGTAGCAACAGCTGCCAGTTTCATGGCTGTGAAACACAGCCATTTCACAGAAAAAGGAACCGTTTCCAGGCTCCTGCTGTTGCTTGGCTGCTTTAGTCACCTGCAGTGTTGCTCCACGAAAGCCACCAATTCTGAAAAGGTTGTATGAAGCAACTAATAATAATGTTTGGGCATATATTTGAGGGCACTTTCAGACTTCTCGCCGTTTTTAGGTGGGATTCAATCACATACCGGCAAATTCAAGTTGCCCAATAGTGCTGATAATGGCAAAGTTGCAGGTTCAATCCCTGTAAGGGACAGCTGCATATTCCTGCATTGCAGGAGGTTGGACCCTATGATTTTCCAAAAGATTCGACTTTTTGCAGCATGGAAAGTGATGGAGAAACACACTGGACAGTGTGCAATAATACACACTATTATGGAATGTCACCCAACCTTCTCACAAACAAATCAGGATGTATGCTCATTGAACAGGTCACCCAGAAGTGCCTTAAGCTGTGCCTCTAAATTTAGGTAAAGGTAAAGGTACCCCTGCCCGTACGGGCCAGTCGTGACCGACTCTAGGGTTGTGCGCCCATCTCACTCAAGAGGCCAGGAGCCGGCGCCGTCCGAAGACACTTCCGGGTCACGTGGCTAGCGTGACGAAGCTGCACTGGTGAGCCAGCACCAGTGCTGCACACGGAAATGCCGTTTACCTTCCCGCTATAAAGCGGTCCCTATTTATCTACTTGCACTTAAGAGTGCTTTTGAACTGCTAGGCGGGCAGGAGCTGGGACCGAACGACGGGAGCTCACCCCGCCGCGGGGATTCAAACCGCCGACCTTACGATCAGCAAGTCCTAGGCACTGAGGTTTTACCCACAGCGCCACCCGCGTCCCTTCGCCTCTAAATTTAGTTTAACGTTAATTCTGTCCTCCAAAGGAACCCTAGGAATTGCTGCTATTTGAAGCAAGCTGGGTGTCTCTATCAGGCAAAAAATGACCTCAGCCGAGCTAAATTCCCAGGATTCTTTGGGAGAAGCTATGATGGTGTGAATCCAATAACTATGTAGTGTAAACACACCCTTGGTTTGTTTGCATCTGCAGATGAACACAACAACTCTCATTCTTGCTGAATATACTTAAATCTTCAGTGCCCAACGCTCAACTTTCTTTCAAACTTGTAGTAGCTTTACCTCAGGGATGGGGGTCTGTGTCCTCCAGATGCTGTTTGCACTCCAACTCCCATCCCTGTTTTACACAAATGTTCACAGCTTATGCCTGGATAGCTCTTCCCCTCCTATCTCCCTCCATTCCCATCGGTCTTTGAGACAGTGCAGACAATCCTAACATCCATGAGTTCTCCTTTCTGGAGAACCTTGGTCATCTTGTTAGATGACATGCCAAGTGGCAAGGAGAATCTTACCACACACATCAAGTATAGAAGCCTACTTTGGCATTAAGCAGTACATAAATAAAATAAAAGAACAATAATAATGTTATCTATTAATGAACAACAGCAGCAGCAGCAGCAGCAGCAATGTAAACTTATATTTGTTGTTGTCCTCAAAACTTGCATACAGCTTTATATTTCAACAGGAAGAGAGTACGGAAGAGAGCATCACCAAAAAAAGATACTTTGGATACCTTGGACATTTCATCATTGTCTTTTGGATTGGACCCCCCCCCCCCGATAAGGAGCTAACGTTGCTACCAACAGAAGAGGTACAAGATCTGGGGGCAGTTGGGGGAGCACCAAAGTAGTCACAGGATGGCGCTGCAGGCCCTGAGCTGGAATGTACATGGCCTTAACATTTCGGAGAACAGGCGACGAGTGTTTCATTTATTGAAAAAAGAGCAATTGGACTTGATTTGTTTACAAGAAACGCATGTGACAAGGTTACATAGGAAATTATTAAGCAACAAAAAATTAGGCCAATAATTTATTTCATCGGATAAAGTAAAAAAAAGAGGAGTGGTTCTCTATGCAAAGGAGAACCTATCACCTAAATTTATCTTTAAAGATGAACAAGGAAGACTTGTAGCAATTGAAATTCAATTTCAAGGAGATAAATTTTTGGTGATAGGTATTTATGCACCAAATGAAGGGAAATCGGAATTCTTCAAAAAGCTACATGAAATATTGATGGACTATTTGGATTACAATATGATTCTAATGGGAGACATGAATGGTGTTGTATCTACGAATATGGATAAGGCGCAAAGACAAACAATCACCAAGGACGGAAGACTACCAAAAACATTTTTTGATATGACTGAAAATTTAGACTTAATTGACACTTGGAGAATGAAGAATCCTCTGGGAAGAGAGGGAACTTTCTTCTCGGAGGCAAAAATGACATGGACAAGAATTGACCAAATCTGGATAACTAGAGGACTGGCTCCAAAGATTAGCAAGGTTGAAATTTGTCCAAAGACCTGCTCTGATCACAATGCTGTGAAGATGGAAATGAAATTAATGCCAACTGGTTCCTTCAGATGGAGGATGAATGACTCTTTGTTTAGGAATGATGGATTCCCAAAAAACTTTGAAAGATTATTTTGAGATAAATATGAATACTACAGTGGAAAAAGAGTAATCTGGGACGCAAGTAAAGCTGTAATGAGAGGTTTTTTGATACAACAGAATGCAATTAAGAAGAGAATGCAAAATGAGAAAAAAGATAAAATTTTGGAAAAAATAAAAGAAGGAGAGAAGAAACTGAGGGCGAAACCAAAGTCCCAGGAAATTCTAAAAGAAATAAAGCTTTACCAAGTACAATATATGAAAATGATGAATCAGGAAATAGAATGGAAGATTAAACAGATGAGACAAAAGACATTTGAATCGGCAAATAAGTGTGGGAAACTGCTGGCTTGGCAATTGAAAAAAAGACAAAAATTAAATACCATTACGAATCTGGAAGTGGAAGGACAGAATATACAGAATCCAGCTGAAATTAGAAGGTGCTTCCAGAGGTATTTTAAACAATTATATACACAAGAAAAGCAGAATGAAATGGACATTGATAAATTTCTGGAAATAAATGGACTACAAAAAATTTCCCAAGAAAATAAATTAATGCTTGATTATAAAATAACGGATCAGGAAGTAGAAGGGGCCATTCAGAATATGCAACTAGGTAAATCTCCAGGACCGGATGGACTGACTTCTAGATACTACAGATCTTTGAAAGAATGGTTAATACAACCATTAAAGGAAGTCTGTAATGAAATATTGGAAGGGAAAAGGGCACCTGAGTCGTGGAAAGAAGCATACATTACACTTATACCAAAATTAGAGTCTGAAAGGACGCAACTTAAAAACTACCGTCCCATATCACTGCTTAATGTGGATTATAAAATTTTTGCAGACATTTTGGCTAAAAGATTAAAAAAGGTGTTAGCAGAAGAAATTCATAAAGACCAAGCGGGCTTTCTCCCGGGCAGGCATTTGTCTGATAATACGAGGAATATAATTAATATTCTAGAAAAGCTACAAGTGAAGATTAACACTAAAGCAGTTCTGATTTTTGTGGACGCGGAGAAAGCCTTTGACAACATTTCCTGGAGTTTTATGAGGAAGAATTTAACGGGGATGGGGGTTGGTAAAAGCTTTGGAAATGGCATAGGTGCAATTTACTCGGAACAAAAGGCTAAATTAATTGTGAATAACGTAGTGACGGAAGAATTTAAGATTGAGAAAGGAACACGACAGGGCTGCCCAATCTCTCCATTGCTTTTTATTTCGGTCCTGGAGGCTCTGTTAAATATGATTAGAAGGGATCAATTGGTTAAAGGTATACAAGTGGGAGCTAAACAGTACAAACTGAAAGCACTTGCAGATGACCTATTATTGACTTTACTGGAGCCAGAATCAAGTACAAAAAGAGTATTAGAATTGATTCAAGAATTTGGCCAGGTAGCAGGTTTTAAGCTGAATAAGACGAAAACTAAGGTTCTGGAGAAAAACCTGAATGTGATTGAGAGAGAGAAGTTTCAGAGGGAGACAGGTCTGACACTGGTTAAGAAAGTGAAATATTTAGGGGTTAATATGACTGCTAAGAATGTGAATCTATTTAAGGATAACTATGAAAAATGTTGGACTGAAGTGAAAAAAGATTTAGAAATATGGTCAAATTTGAAGCTATCGTTGCTAGGCCGAATTGCTGTGATAAAAATGAATGTATTGTGTCAGGGAACTGCCATCGGACGGAAGGGAGGTGAAAGGGCTCACACAGGTTGGGAGAGACTCAGCAGCTGAAGACGGAAAGGAGGTGAAAGGGCTCACACAGGTTGGGAGAGACTCAGCAGCTGAAGAGGGAACCAGTAGGGGAGAGGAGCTGAGCGGAGGGAAAGTGAGCTGGAGGGATGGCTCAGAGACACTTCCAGCGAAAACAGTGGGGAGGTTTCAGGACCTCCTGTAGGGACACCCACTCCTCGCCGGAAACTGACACGCAGAGGGTCCAGAAGACGTGTTTCCGTTAAGGAGCTTTTATGTTGGAAGCGATTCGAAAGCAACCACTGTCGGAATCTGCTAGTGACTAGAGGAGCCATGTCTGAAGGGCTCCGTCACAGACAGAGGTTTGTGGACTTGAACAAACTCTGAGGGGATACGATTTTACGCACAAGCAGCTCATCATCCCATCACAGCATTCCGACAGTCTTTGAAAGCAGCTTGTGCAGGAGAAGGCATCATGAGCAACCCAGCCGGAACCGGAGAAGCAGGAGCTGGAGCGGGTCCAAGCCTGGAAGAAAGGTACCGGGTGTTGGAGGTCCAGCTAGCGCTGCAGACGGCGAGGCTTGAGGAGAGGAGGGCTCAGGATGCAGACAAAAGGGAAAGCCACCCAGCTCGCCAGAAAGGTACCAGGATTGGTGCAGAAGTTTGGGGGGGAGCCCAAAGACTATCATGGCTTTCGGACAGAGATGCAATATGCCCTCAATCTGCAGTTTGATGAATTCCCTGACGAGGAATCACGAGTGGCTTTCGTGATTGGGCATCTTGAAAAGGGGGCGAGAGACTGGGTTAGACCCCTGATGGCAGCGAATAGTGACGTCCTAAAGGACACGATGAAGTTCTTTCGCGCCATGGATCTGATGTTTTCCAGCGATATTGAACAGGGAGTGGTGCGCAGACAGTTAATGGCTTGCAAACAGGGGAGCCGATCTGTCCGTGAGTACTGGACTGAGTTCACCATGCTGGTTCACAGATTGGGGTGGGACTTATCGGCGGAACCCATTCAAATGCTCTTTGAAGAAGGGCTTTCTTCGGCTGTGAAAGACGAACTTTCCCGGGCGCCCAGGGCGGAGTCTATGGACCAGCTGACCAAATCAGCGCTGACCATAGGAGCGCGCCAGGAGGCGAGAGCATTGGAGAGGCGGGAAGGGAAGGGGAACGTTGGAAGGAGTTCCGCATTCCAGACATTCCAGAGCCAACTTTCCCGCCGGCAGAGCCGATGGAAATCGGAACAGCGCGCGCGCGCAGTTTCAAAGCCCAGTGAGGGGGGGAAGAAGGAGGGAAAAGGCGCCCGGAAATGCTATCTCTGCCAACAGCCAGGTCACTTTGCCAGAGTCTGCCCCCAGAGGAAGGAATGGCAAGGGATGGTAGGAGCTGTGGAGGGAAGAGAGGAAGAAATACCGGAGCAAGTAAAAGCCAACGCCTGGCTGCCACTGTCGGGGCACAGCAGCCAGGCCAAAGAGCAGTGAGAGTGCCCACGCCAGAACCTCCTAAACCCGCCCTAGTGATAGAAGTGACGCTAGAGCTGCCAAACGGACACCCTCTAAAGATAAAGGCGCTGTTGGACTCAGGCAGCTCCTGCAATTTCATGAGCAAAGAGTTTGCAGCTGAACACCAGATACAGACGATCCCTTTAAGCAACCCCTGCAGGTGACCACGATCGATGGCAGGGAGCTGTTGGGAGGAGAAGTCAGCTTGCAGACCGTCCCAATGATAATGAAGGTAGCAAGGCACACCGAACTGATAGCTTTTAATGTGGCCACCTTGGGAGGAGCTCCCATTATATTGGGGATGAGCTGGCTAGCGTTACATGATCCGCTGGTGGGCTGGCATCAGAGAGTGGTTTCTTTTGGTTCAGCACATTGCTTAGAACACTGCAAAGAGGGAAAGGGTTTGGCAGGGGCCCAAGCCACCCTAGCAGGGACTGAAGTAACGGAGAACGTGAAGGTACCACGACAATATGCAGATCTCCGTGACGTCTTCAGCGAAAGGGAAGCTGACCAACTACCCCCGCATAGACCCTTTGACTGTCAAATCAATTTACTCCCTGGGGCACAGCTCCCTGTAGGCAAGCTGTACGCCATGTCAGACAGAGAGATGCAGGAGCTAAGAGAGTTCATTGACAAGAACCTGAAGAGAGGGTTCATCAGAGAGTCCAGGGCGGTGGGGGCAGCCCAGTGTTTTTGTGGATAAAAAAACACGAACAAGCCGAGGCTGGTGTGTGACTTCAGGGCCTTAAATGCAGTGTCAGAACCAGTGGCCTTCCCTATGCCCAGGATTGACGACATTTTGACAAGGGTGCGGAAGGGAAAGATTTTCACAAAGCTGGACCTAAGGGGGGCGTACAACCTGGTACGAATAAGGAAGGGGGATGAATGGAAAACCACCATGTTCACCCCTTTAGGGGCATTTGAATATTTGGTTATGCCCTTCGGCCTACAAGCAGGCTCCGCAACCTTTCAATCGTTTATGAACCACGTCCTGGGGCCTTTGCTTTACAAGAATTGTGTGGCCTTTTTAGACGACGTGTTGGTGTATTCTGAGAATGAGGAGCAGCATGTGAGAGACGTCAGAGAAGTGTTGAGCAGGCTGCAAGCCAACCAGCTGTGGGTGAAACTGGAGAAGTGTCAGTTTCATACCAAGGAGGTGGAATTCCTGGGGTATCGCCTGTCAGACAAGGGATTGGCCATGGATCCCGGCAAGGTCCAGGCGGTGCTGGAATGGAAAACACCCAAAACAAGGAAGGATGTGCAGAGGTTCCTAGGATTTGGGAACTTCTATCGTAAGTTCATCAGAAACTTTGCCCACCTGACGGCGCCCATTACGGACTGTCTCAGCAGTAAGAAGAAGTTCGTTTGGACTGAGGAGGCGGAGCGAGCATTTGAGGAACTAAAAGGGCCTTCGCCTCGGAACAACAACTCCTGCATGTGGATTTACAAAAACCGATGAGAGTGGAAACTGACGCATCAGACAGAGCGATTGGGGCGGTGCTTCTGCAGCCAGGCAAGGAGGAGTCAGAGTGGAGACCGTGTGCCTTTTTTCACGAAAGCTGAACAAATCCGAGAGGAACTACACGGTGTATGACCGAGAACTACTAGCCATTCATGAGGCGTTCCGGAGATGGAGGCACCTGCTAATTGGCGCACAACATAAGGTGCAAGTGTGCACTGACCACAAGAACCTAGAGTATTGGAGGACGGCACGAGTGCTCAACCAACGGCAAGTGAGATGGGCCCAGGAGTTCTCCAAATTTAACTTTGAGATTTGTTACGTGCCAGGCCCAGAGAACATTAGGGCGGACGCTCTCTCACGCAAACCTGAATATTTGGAGGGGAGGAGCACCCGAAGAGAGACATGTCATTCCAGAGGACCGCTGGGTGTGTGGGGCGGCATTGGTGGGACAAAGAGAACTGGTAGAGGAAACAGAGAATGATGAATACGCCCAGAATAAGCTCAGAGGTCTTAGGGGTGAGGGAGAGGAACCAGGGGTTTCGAGGAAAGAAATGGAGCTTTGTATTACAAAGGGGCACTGTATATCCCTGAAGGAGACTTAAGGGGGGGGGGGTACTCAAGCAGTTGCACGACAGCCCTACGGCGGGGCATTTTGGACAACACAAAACCATGTGGTTGGTCACCAGGGAATTTTGGTGGCCCAAGGTGAGGGAGATGTACGTGAGTATGTAAGAGGGTGCGAGCAATGCCAGCGAGCCAAAGGGAAAGGCGGGCGCCGGCGGGGCTGTTAGAACCCTTACCAACCCCAGAACGACCTTGGGAGGCAGTGTCGATAGATTTTATGACTGATCTGCCGAAGTCCAAAGGGAAAACAGCCATCATGGTGGTGGTGGACCTACTAACAAAGATGTGCCACTTTGTAGCTTGCTCGCATGCAGTCACGGCGGAAGAGACAGCGAAGTTATTTGTAGAACACATTTTTAGGTTGCACGGGGTGCCATTGAGGGTGGTCTCAGACCGAGGAAAACAATTTACTTCCAGGTTCTGGAGGAAGCTCATGAGCTTACTGCAGGTGGAGGTCAATTTTTCGACTGCCCGGCACCCTGAAACCAACGGGCAGGCGGAAAGAGCAAACGGTGTCCTCCAGCAATACCTGAGGTGTTATGTCAATGACAGAGAGAATGACTGGGTAGAAAAGTTGGCGCTGGCGGAATTTGCCTACAACAATGCCGAGAATGTGTCCACAGGGATGAGCCCCTTCTTGGCTAATTATGGGTGTCATCCCAGGGCTTTCCCAGGGGAGATGGGGAGAGATGGAGCGTCCCGGCAGCCGAGCATTTTGTAGAAGAAATGGAAGCAATCCATTGTCAGCTCCAACTCAACTTAGAAAGGGCGAAGGAAGAATACAAGAGGCAAGCAGACAAGAACCGAAGGGAAGGTGAAACCATAAGGGTGGGAGATAGGGTGTGGCTGTCAACCCAAGGGTTGCCGTTCAAAGGAGGTTGTAAGAAATTAAGACCCAGGAGGTTGGGTCCCTTTGAGGTCATTCAACAGGTCAACCCAGTGGCTTTCAGGCTCCGGTTACCCAACCACATGAAACTGCACCCAGTATTTCACAGGTCGTTACTGTCACCGTACGAAGGGGACGAGAAGGGATGGCCACTCGGGGACCGGTCATAGAAGAAAGAGAATGCAGCAGCCATGTGGCAGAAATCCTCGACGCCAGGTGGAAGGGGAATCAGGTGGAGTATTTGGTAGCGTGGGAAGGAGAACCGGAGTCAGAAAACACTTGGGTAATGGCCGAAGATATCAATGACGAGGTATTGATAGAAACGTTCCATCAAAGGTTCCCAAGGAAACCTCAGCCTGTGGAGAGGTTCCGGAGGGAATACTTTGGGACCACTGATGAGGAGGAGGAGTTGGAAGGCTTCCCGGACTCGGAAGGGGAAGGGGAGATGGACTCTGAGGAGGAGGAGTACTTCGAGACCAGGAACCGCAACAGGTGGAGAGAAGTGTTCGAGACATCGGAAGATGAAGGAAGTTCATTCCGGGGTTTTGCCTCCTCACCGCCCGTAGAGGAGGGGGCGAGAGGGGGTGAAGGGGGCCCTGGAGGGGAGGTGGATGTCAGGGAACTGCCATCGGACGGAAGGGAGGTGAAAGGGCTCACACAGGTTGGGAGAGACTCAGCAGCTGAAGACGGAAGGGAGGTGAAAGGGCTCACACAGGTTGGGAGAGACTCAGCAGCTGAAGAGGGAACCAGTAGGGGGAGAGGAGCTGAGCGGAGGGAAAGTGAGCTGGAGGGATGGCTCAGAGACACTTCCAGCGAAAACAGTGGGGAGGTTTCAGGACCTCCTGTAGGGACACCCACTCCTCGCCGGAAACTGACACGCAGAGGGTCCAGAAGACGTGTTTCCGTTAAGGAGCTTTTATGTTGGAAGCGATTACGAAAGCAACCACTGTCGGAATCTGCTAGTGACTAGAGGAGCCATGTCTGAAGGGCTCCGTCACAGACAGAGGTTTGTGGACTTGAACAAACTCTGAGGGGATACGATTTTACGCACAAGCAGCTCATCATCCCATCACATATTGCCAAGAATGTTATTTCTGTTTCAATCACTGCAAATTTTGGACAAAATGGACTGTTTCAAGAAGTGGCAGAGAGATATTTCTAGATTTGTCTGGCAGGGCAAGAAGCCTCGTATAAAATTTAAGATTTTAACTGATGCTAAAGAAAGAGGTGGATTTGCCCTGCCAGACTTAAAACTTTATTATGAATCAGCCGCTTTTTGTTGGCTGAGAGAATGGATGCTTCTTGAAAACACGGATGTTTTGGATTTGGAAGGTTTCAATAATGTATTTGGTTGGCATGCATATTTGTGGTATGATAAGGTCAAAGCACACAAAGCGTTCAAAAACCATATTGTAAGAAAAGCACTGTTTAATGTCTGGATAAGATATAAGGATTTGTTAGAAAATAAAACCCCAAGATGGCTGTCACCTATGGAGGCAAAGGCCCAGAAAAAACTCAATATGGAGGCCAAATGGCCGAAGTATTGGGAAATTTTGGAACAAGAGGGTGACAGATTAAAACTACAGAGCTTTGAAAAATTAAAGAACAGAGTGCGAGATTGGCTCCATTATTACCAAATAATGGAGGCATATAATCAGGATAAAAAGCTAGGTTTTCAGGTGGAAAAATCAAAGCTGGAAACAGAATTGTTAGACCCTAAAGTTAAGAATTTGTCAAGAGTGTATAACTTGCTGTTGAAATGGAATACTCAGGATGAAATGGTGAAATCTGCTATGATTAAATGGGCACAGGATGTTGGACATAATATTATGATGGCTGACTGGGAACAGTTATGGACCACCGGTATGAAATTTACGGCATGTAATGCCTTAAAAGAGAATTTAATGAAAATGATTTATAGGTGGTACATAACACTAGTTAAGCTTGCAAAAATTTATCATTTGCCCGATAATAAATGTTGGAAATGTAATGAAATTGAAGGTACATTCTTTCACCTTTGGTGGACATGCCCAAAGATTAAGGCATTCTGGGAGATGATCTATAATGAAATGAAAAAGGTATTTAAATATACCTTTATAAAGAAACCAGAGGCCTTTCTCCTGGGCATGGTCGGCCAATTGGTGCCAAAGAAGGACAGAGTTTTTTTCATGTATGCCACAACAGCAGCAAGAATACTCATCGCTAAGCATTGGAAGACACAAGACCTACCTACCAGGGAAGAATGGCAGATGAAGGTGATGGATTACATGGAATTGGCGGAAATGACTGGCAGAATCCGAGACCAGGGAGAAGAGTCGGTGGAAGAAGATTGGAAAAAATTTAAAGTATATTTACAGAAATATTCTAAAATTAATGAATGTTAGAAGGATGCTGGAAAGAAGCTACATGACTTTAGTAGAAATACTATAAAGAATTAAGTATGAATAGATTGACATTGGTAAAGGGGTAAATTTAAGGCTAAAATGTGTTAAGATAAATTATGGAACTAAATTTGAGAAAGAGGGAAAGAACTTGCTGGAATAATTAATTGAACTAGAATACAAAAAAGGAGGTGTGAGGAAGTCAAGGAAATAAGCAAATGAAAGATAAGGATATGAAAGTACGGGATTTTTTAAATTTTTGTTTGTTCTTTTTTGGGTTTCTTAAATGTTTTTGTTTTTTGTTTTTTGCCTTTTTTTGTATTGTTGATGTTTTGTATTACTGTATTTATTTTTGTTTCTGAGGTTTTGTAATTGTTTATGGCTTGTATTTCTTTTTTGTTTCTCTTTTCTTTTTTTCTCTGTAATGTTTAAACTTTAATAAATATCTTATAAAAATATATATATATATTTCAACAGGAATATCTAAACCAGGGGTGGGAGCAATGGGCCCTCCAGATGTTGCTGAACTACAAATCCCATCAACCCCTGCAAGTATGGCCAATGGGCAGAGATTATGGGAGTTGCAGTTCAGAAACATCTGGAGGGCCAGATTTTCCCCACCCCTCTCTAAGCAGATCGTGTGTGCACACACGATCACATACAACCCCACTTTTTATCTTGTATTCTTGTTCAGATGTCAAGGAGATAAAGCTAAGGATACAACTTTTAGAAGATGTTTTATTATGTTTCTACATGTGTTGGAAGCCACCCAGAGTGGCTGGGGGAACCCAGATAGATGGGAAGGGTATAATACTACTACTACTGATAATAATGCTAACAGTGGTAATAATAATGTATGGCAATATGTATAATAAAATGGTTGTGGGCACCCAGTTTCTAAACATCACAATGTAAAGCAGTGAAAGAAGAAAAAAATGACTGTCTCTTAGATCTTGTTGCCCACCTACCTACATAGAGAACTCCTTCTTTCGTTTTCCCTGCTGCTTCCGCCATGCCCTGCTTGGTCTTCTCTGCTGCCGCCACAACTCCTTCCTTGGCTCTGTTAAATCCTTTCATGAATACATCCATGGCTAAAGAATGTCAATATCCAGCCCTGGAAAGAAAGACAAAGAAAACAAATTAAATGAAGGCAGAGAAAGAGAAAGAGAGAGAGAGAGAGAGAGAGAGAGAGAGAGAGAGAGAGAGATTGTTCAGCATTTGATGCCCACCTGTTCATACAGTGCAAGTTGAATCCAATGAGACAAAAAGATATGGAGCTAATCAAGGCACAATAAGGGAAACAGGATCATGGCCGTTGAACCCAATACAGGAAGGGTTGAAGCTCAGTGGTAAATTTAGCTGCTCAGTGATGGGCCTATCAACATGGAACGCCTTCCCATGAAAAGTGTGTTTGGCTTATCTGTTAACTGATTTTAATGTTGTTGTTGTTTTAAAAAAGACCTGTCTGAGTACATCCACTTTTAGTGAAATGATGTTGCTGGTCTTCATTTTTTTAGGCTGTCATTTTAATGTTGCTGCTAAATATTGCTGGTTTGGAGTGAAATGTATAGTTGTGTGTTGTTGTCACAATGAGTCATGCTTTATCTTTAAAACTATGCAATGATCTGATTTGAGATCTGATTCTGGTTCTGACTTTGTGCTGGCCATCAGGTGGTGGCTTTTTCCACCTGCCTTGCCCTACCCTCCAGTCCTAGAAGCCTTCAGAAAGAAGATGCTGCCACGAGCATCATGTGGATGTGTCTTTTAACGAACTGAATAGAGTGGAAGATGATGAGTCAAGGAGGTGGGGAGAGCCTGTGTATGAATTCTGCAGTACTTAGTTTATTATTTAATTGCTACCTTGTTAATGTTGTTAGAATGGTTTTATCGATTATGAATGCTGTAGCACTTTGTAAATCCTATATTATTACAGTGGTACCTCTGGTTACGTACTTAATTCGTTCCAGATGTCCGTTCTTAACCTGAAACTGTTCTTAACCTGAAGCACCACTTTAGCTAATGGGGCCTCCTGCTGCCACTGCGCCGCCGGAGCCGGATTTCTGTTCTCATCCTGAAGCAAAGTTCTTAACCCAAGGTACTATTTCTGGGTTAGCGGAGTCTGTAATCTGAAGCGTATGTAACCTGAAGCGTATGTAACCCAAGGTACCACTGTATTATTATTATTATTATTGTTATTATTATTATTATTATTTTACTATTATTATTATTATTAATAATAATAATAATAATTAAATTTATACACCACCACCACCCCATCTGTAGATCCCTGGGCAGTTCATGATATCCAAAACAAGATAAAAGACGCAAAATACATGATAAGAAAATAAGAACAAATAAGAATAATATGATTTTTGTTGTTATTGTTCTGTCTGGGTTATTTTTTTTAGCAGTTTTGTTAATAGTGTTTTATAGATTGCAGTTGTTTTACTGATGGTTTGTATTTGTTTTACTGATGGTTGGTTAATTCTTCTATATGATCTATATTGTACTTGTGATGTTCTATTATGTTATTGTTATTGTCTGTTTGTAAGCCGCTTTGCGATACTTGTGGATGGAAAGCTGTGTATAAATATAATAAATAGACCAATCACATCAACGTCCTAGAATGACAAAACTGAGATGAAGGAGGAGGAAGCTGACAGTCAGGACCACCCACTGGACTGGGTTTAAGAAAGAAGTCTGGCAGGCAGAAGCTGACTCAGAGCAAGACTGAGTTTGGGTAGGCAATGTCCCATTTGCCTTAACAGATCAGCCTCCTTTGCCTTGAGAAGTCCATTTGCCCAGGAAGCTCGTATAAAAATAAGTGAGAGTTACCTTGCTGGGGGAGAACAAGGTCTATCAGTGAACACAAAATACCCAATTGCCTTTTTAAAGCTGTTAGTACCTTGCAGCCAACTTGTCTTTTTAAACCAGATTTTAAACCAATTTAGATCTTTTTTCTGCCACACTCAAACATCAGAGAGAATGGAACCCCATAGCCACAGCTGAGCACTGCAACAAGTCCTTCCAAACCGTGAACAAATGAGTAATTATTTAAAAATAGGAGTGTGAATCTTCATTACCAAGTCCTGGGAAATATACTATATCCAGCAAACCTAGGAGAGGGAGGTGAGGGGGAGGAGCATTGAGCTGTCTTTATCTGAAGATGCTAACATTAGCCCCTGAGATCATGTTCATTTACATGCCAGCCCTGCACAGGATTTTCTTTAAAAACACCCACATATTGCAAGTGTTCAGGAAAATGCCAATCAATCATGGAATTGCACCAGGATAAGTTTGCATAGAAGTGGTGTGCATCTCTGTGACATGTTGGCTGACCTTGATTCACTTTTGTTCACAGCTGCATAGTTTAAAAAACACCACTGCCAAGTTCTTCACTTTAATTTGATTTCAATTTCTCTCTCTCTTACACACACACACACACACACACACACACACACACACTTGACTTTCCCCCTTAATCATTGGGTAAACAACAATCTCAGTGCTGTTAGTCTAGTCTATTTGTATATTTATAGTCTAGGTGATGTAGTAAACAAATCTTGAGAACCCCTGCGATCTTAGCTAATCCCTGGACAAGAGCCAAAACTTCATTGGACTTGTCAATAAAGGCATCCAATTCCCTGGTAATGAAAGGAAGGCAGATCCCTGCATACAATGGCACATGGTGTGTGTTCTTGCTCGTTCTCTCTCTCTCTCTCTCTCTCTCTCTCACACACACACACACACACACAGTCTCTTACACAAGGGAAGATAAACCATTCGTCTGTGGGAGGAGGAGTACTAAGACAGTAGACACCATGTTTAATGGTTTGGAAACAGAAAGGAGATGGTCTGCATATGGGAGATTTAGCAGGCAGCAAATTCTTCTAGAATGGATGTTGTTCCATTTCTGTTCTATCAGAGGCAGGCTCTGGACATGGTTTCTCCTTTTAGGATGAGTCCCCTTCTCAACTGAGCACTTTCCACATTTTTGCTTCCACACCCCCCTCCAAAAAAAAACCTGGGGACAGTCACACACTTCACCATTTTCTGAAGCGATAATACTTGTATATATACGAAGACTGAATGTCACAACAAACATGGCTAGGCTCTCTTAGGATTCCTGAGAAAGCTGGCAAATTAAACTGGGTGCCTATATAGCTCTGACTTCATGGTGGAACAGGGTAGGGTCCTTGAGTTAAATCAAGGGTGGTGGAGGACGACCTGTAGTTCTCCAACATCCATCAGCCCAAGTCAACATGGTCAGTGGTCAGGGACAAGGGAATTTGTAGTCCAGCACCATGCCTATACATGCATATCTCTTTAAATCAGGGTAGCTAAACTATATCCCATCATCCCTGTCCTTTGGACAATGCTGACTTGTGCTGACAGGAAATAGAGTCCAACAACATCTAAAGAGCCACGCAATTCAACAGTCATTGCTTAGAGAGGAAGGCTTCTGTGCTAAACACCTGCTCTCTTTTGTCCATAAGAAACACAACAAGACAGCTCCCATTGCTGCCTTCCTGTCCCACCTTTCCTAATACAGGAGTTTTTCTTGCTTAGCTAATGACAGACACTTAAATATATTCATTATTGAAATTATAATTTCCGCTTTCCCCCAAAGCCAAGCTTCTGGGTTTGGGGAGCGTGTGTGTATCTGTGTATGTGCGTAGACAAGATATATTTTATAGCATGATCTAATGTATGTTTACTCAGAAGTGAGTCCTGTTCATTGCAACGGGGCTTACTCCAAAGTAAGCATGCACAGGCTGCAAGCGTAGGCATAGGAGTCTGAGGCTACAAGCTTCTGAACATATGCAGAGAAGTAAGCCCCCCATTGAGTACACAAGGGAACTTACTTCAGAGTTGAAAACCTACATATGACATCAGTTCTTAGCATTCTGCCCATGCCTTTGCAGAAGTAAACCTCGTCGGGTCCAGTGCGATTTACTAAGCGTGCAACAGGACCACATCCTCAAAGGTCCTCCTCCATCACGCACCACCGCCTCACCACCATAGGAAAACCAAGATACAGAAATTTCATCCAGGTTACTTACCCTCTTGCACCTTGCCTCGGTACTTCTCTAGAACTGTTGAGTTTGAAGCGTAAAGGGAGGACCAGAAAAAGCGAGAGCGACAAAAAAAGGAGAGTTCCGAAGGATGCTCTGATCAGTACATGGCTGCTGAAGGATACAGGGAGAGAAGAAGTGTCCAGCCGCGTCTAGTGGTACCCAGGTGGTCCCAGTTCCGCAAAGCTGGAAGGAGTTGGAGGGAAAGGACCGGGGGGCGAGAGATCTTGCCCTCCAGTTCCAAGGCGCCTGGTGTATCGCTCTGTGTGTGTGTGTGTGTGTGTGTGTGTGTGTGTGTGTGTGTGTGTGTGTGTGTGGGTGGAGAAGCAAAGCTTCACTCTCTCGCTTTCGCAGCCTCTTCTCTCCGCCTGATTTGTCAGGTAAGAAGACAGGCAGCGCCCACGAGCTCAGCCCAGGGAGAGAACACCGCCCTCCCCGCCCTCCCTCTTTCCCTCTGTCTCTCCATCTTCTCGTGGCTCCGCCCGTGAACGAGCAGCCTCCTCCAGAGAGACAGAGAGCGCTTGCATGATGAGGAAGGGATAGGAAGTATCTTCGCGGCTGGAGGGAACGAGATTGCAATGGCAACAAGTGGGGGAGCCTTGAGAGCAGGAAGGGGACATTCCTGGTGGAAAGCGGGTGGTGGAGGAGTATTATGCAGGTCTTGGTGGTCTTGTAGCCCCACCCCTCCTCCCTTCCCCACGCCCTCTTGCTCCCTGCTCCTTCCCATCTCGGGCCAGGCTCCCTCTTGAATGAAGGTGTTCCTGGAACATTCAGATCAGGGGGACGCGAAGTTGTACCTCCGCATCCTGTTGTTGGTCTTCCTTACAAAACAAATGCATGCATAAGTAAGTCACCGCGGACAGAAAATCTAACAGAGCAAATGGATGTGGTATGCTTTTAAAGGCATGTGTGCGCCCCATATTAAAAGCTTCCTTGCGGAGACAAAGCACCTCAGAGAGATAGGTCTACAGAGAACAGTTTCCCAGCCCGTGCTAGCGTCACATAGTCAGGGGTGTGCTTTGTATGGAGATCATTCAAAGACGCCTCCTGTGGTCTGAACTGGTGGAGCCCTGCAAGAGCTGTAGCACATGGCAGTTTTGATTTGTGCATTTTGGCTCTTTTATGCCACCCAAATTACCCCATTCCTCTAAAATGTGCCCTCATTTCCAAAGCTGTGAATGGAAAAAACATAAAGGCATGGGCTTGCCTGTTCGTCCAATGATACAGAGCTAATGAACCAAGGGTCGTCTAGTCCAACCCCCTGCAATGCAGGAATGAAGTGATTGAGAAATGGGCCGCACACTCTTGTTCACCTCCTGCCTCAGCTATGAGCTCATGGCTGAATTACTTTAGGTAAGCTGCTTTCTCCCAGCCTCAGCTTTAACTCTCCAATCTGCAGAATGGGGATAAAGTTGACTTATTTTAAGACGGGGGTGAATTGCAGCTCCCATCATCCCTGACCAAGCATTGGTCATGCTGGCATGGAACTGAAATTCAAGAACAGGTGGAAGGTTCCAGGTTTACGAAGGAACTGTTGTACAGATCACTGAGATAATTGATGGGAAATGCTTTGGGCACATAGCAACATTTATATCACAATTTTCCTAAGTATAACTCATAGTTTTGTGCTTTGCATTTCCATGAACAAAACAAAGTTTGAAGTGCAACCGTTTACAGGGTCCATTTCCAAAAGAGCACTGATAGGATTTATTATTTTTACTGTTTATTTATTTACTGTTTACTGTTTATTTACTGTTTATTTTAAAATATACAGGTTGAGGATGGGAGGACAGATCCTCAGTAGTATTAACCCCCCCCTTGCCAGGTACTTAATAATAATAATAATAACAATAAATTTTATTTATATCCTGCCCTCCCCAGCCGAAGTCGGGCTCAGGGCGGCTAACAACAATAAAACAGTACAAAAGTACAGCTTAGAGATATCAATCTTCTGTTTCCTTCATTGGCATCATGCTGAACTATTAAACCGTCTCCTTCTGCATGACCAAACCAGGTCAGATGTATTGGTAGCCATCAAAGGCCATCAGTGCTCAATTCCAATTAGATATTTTCAGCGAAGATACTGCATGTCACTTCAGGGCTAAAGCACCTCCTGTCTTGATTATTGGTAAACAAATAATATTATTAATCAGGGGAGATATTCAACTGAATAATTGCAAAAACAGAATGACTTCTGCTTGGGCAACAGACCTGTTTCCCCCAGTGGCGTCGCAATGGGGGTACGGGGCGCCCCAGGTGCCATGTCTGGGGGGATGACAAGAAGGCACCCCACTGGAGCTCACCCCGCCACGGCAGCACAAGCAGCCATCGTGTCGCCGCAGCCGCATGTGGCAGATCTTCCGTTCGTGGCTGCAGCCACGAGCAGAGGATCCTGGTGCCAGCGGCAAACCGCTATGTACAGAGCATGTGCAGTGTCACACAAATGCGCTGTACTTAACGCCGCCGCAGATGCGCTGTACATAGCGGTTTGCCACCGGCACTGCTCCCGCGCTGTATGGACAGCCATGGAATCCCTCCATCGCCACTACAGCCGCATGTAGAGGATCTTCCGTTCGCTGCTGCAACTGCGAGCAGAGGATCCTGGCACCATCCATACAGCGCTGGAGCACCGGTGCCGGCAAACCGCTATGTACAGCGCATGTGCGGCGTCACTACGTACGGCGCACGCGTCATGCGTAGTGACACCGCACATGTGCCCTAAGTAGCAACACCCTGCCCCGGGTGTTGCAACGCCTTCGTTCGCCCCTGGTTCCCCCTTCTCCTCCTTTGCCCCCCCAAAATCTGTTCTAGTTTTTTCTTGACCTTCTGAAGCAGGTTGGGGGATAGCATGGGGTGTCTGGAGAGAAATGGAAGTCCCATAGTGTACAGTAAGTGGAATTAGTTCCACTTGTGCAATTATTTCATTGAATACCACTCACATTCTTTAACTTCCCCCGTTGTTTGATTATAATTCTTCACATTGCAAGCAAGCAGTCATGTTCTTTTCTACATCACACAAAGTTTAACTCTTTTCCAAAGAACTCGACAAAGTTTTCTATGGTTTCCTTCTCCATGTTCCTTCTGTCCTCCGTTTTTTAAGCAAAGCAAGTTCTCTTCCCGATAACAAAGTCATCCGGTAGAGCACAGCGACTAATCTTTCAAGCTTTATATAACCACCTCCTGTAGCCCTCTGTGTGTTTTTAAAGCAATTGTCTTACATAAATGTGTTTCATCTGGCTCTCAGGCAGCTCAACCATCAGGCAAGGGAAGGGAAGGAGTTTGAGGGAATATTCATGTCTCTCTAACATGCTGGGAAGAGAAAGGATAAGAACTGTAATTTTTGTTGGTGGTTATTAGACAAAACGGTAGGAATTGGTGGATTTGTCATTTTTGGTTTTTCTTGGTTTCTCATTTTTCCAATGTTAAGTTCAGTTCTTGACATTTCCACATCAGTTTGTGATATACTTTTTTTTTTAAAGAGTCCTAATGCTAATTCATCAGCATTTGGGTATGAATTTTGCCTTACACGTTTTGCTCTGCAATTTTGCCCAGTATACACATTTTGCAGAGCAATTTCCCCTAACCTCTAGGTTAGATTACAGCAGTGCGTTATATGTGTGGCTGCCTCTGGAGATGGTTCGGAAACTTCAGTGTGTGACAGATATAGGCTTCAATCCTATACACACTGACCTGGGAATAAGTCACACCACTGAACGTAGTGGTACTTACTTCTGATTAGACGTTCCTAGGATCACACTGTTATTGGTGAAGCATACTTATTTTTATTGAACAGTTTTAAATTGTGATTTCCATTCTGGAGTATGAGATGTGGAAAAGGGAGAGGAACATATCTCCACAATTCAGCTTAATTTACATTTTATTTAAAGTTCAGTGCTCACAAAACCTCATGTCTTCAGAAAGGTTGAATGTCTAGACTATAATTATAGCTAGTCTCCCTGGTGCCTGGTACTTCCAGATAGCATCCCTAACTCATGGGAGATGGTTCTCTTTTATTAAAAACCATACAAGATTTGGGCCATGAAAATGTATTTAAATGCAACTAAAATATGCAGTCCTCCCGCCTCCCACTTGGTTTGACATAGGAAGCTGCCTTATTACAAATCATGATTTTGTCCATCAGATTCAGCATCATCTACAACAGGTATGGGGAACCAGCAGCTCTCTAGATGTTGCTGGATTGCACCCCCCATCCATTTCCCCCAAATGACCATTGACTGTGCTGGCTGGAGCTAATGGGGGTTGGAGTCCAATAACATCCAGAGGGGCCACCAGCTGTAAGAAGAGCCTGCTGAATCAGGCCAGTGGCCTACAGCAGCTAACTAGATGCAAATGGAAAGCCCACAAGCAGCACATGAAATTTCAAGAAGCACAAAGAGGCTATCAGTGGCCTGTCCACTGGAGGGGAGAGTGCTCTAGTGTTCAACCCTCTACTTGAGGTCTCCCACAGATGTCTGGGTGACCACTGGGTGACCACAGGATGACCACAGGATGCTGTTCTTAACAGGTATTCAGAAGCATGTTGTCTCTCACTGTGGAGGCAGAACATAACCATCAAGTTAAGTAGCCACTAATAGTCTTATCCTCCATGAATTTGTTCCACACCCGGTTCCAGGTTTCAGTCAAGGGTTTTCCCCAACTTGGAAATGCCAATAATTGGACCGGGGACCTTTTCCACATAAAGGATGTGCCTGAGGTCTATCCCTTCTCCAGTGCCATTGCTGCATGGCATCTGCTCACAGGTCACAGCATGCAGGTTCTAGCTGCCACTCACCTTTCTGTCTAGTGCTATTGTTCTCCATAGACATAAAAAGAGGTCCAAATGTCCATTTTGTCCCACATCCTGCTTCCCTTTGCAGTCATGCAGGTGCCCCCAAAGAGACCAGAAGCAAGTCCTCTGCTAACCCTGTTCATAAGAGGTGTGCTGCCTTTGAACACCCGATTCCTTATCACGGCCAGTAGCTGTTGAAATACCCATCCTCTGTGAATGTGTCCATTTTGTAAAGTCTCAGTAGCCATCACCATACGTGGTGTGACCACACTTGGAATCCTGTGTACAGTTCTGGTTGCCACACCTCAAAGAGGATGCCGTAGAGCTGGAAAAGTTTCAGGAAATGATCATTGGGCTAGAAAAACTCTCTGGGGCAGGAGGGTTGAAACATCAGAGGCTTTTTAGTTGAGCAGGGGGGAGATAAGTGGAACGGGATAGAAATGTGTAACGTGGTGTAGAGAAAGCCAACAATGATTTTTCTCTCTCCCTTTTTTGTAATACCAATGGTCATGCAAAGAAGCTGAATAGTGAGAGATTCAGGGCAGGCAGAAAGGAGCATTTCTCCACACAGCACACAGTGAAGACTGTGCAACTGTGCTATCACAAGGGGTACTGATGGCCATGTTAGAATTCCTGCTCCATGATTGCAGTCATGGGATTGTTGTCTTTCACATAACGGTGTATGTTTTGACTTCACAGAGTGGGA